AGCCTGGAAAGCTACCCGTGACGTATGTGATATGCCAAATACAGTAACAAGTCTCACAATGTTACTGGGCCCGCTCGAGCAAATCAATGAACAACGGGAGGACAGTGACAGTGACAGTATATTTATATGTTGAAATAATAGAAAACCTTTATCTTTTCAGACTGTGGTTTTTTTAAAAAAAAAATTATAATAAAGTGCCAGAGAGCTAGTACAGAGGGAAAGGCACTTGCTTTGCAAGTGGCCAACACTGGTTCAATCCCTAACACCACATATGGCTCCCTGGGCACTGTCAGGAGTGACCTCTGAGCACAGAGCCAAGAACAGGTTATAAGAATAGCGGGATATGGTCCAGAACCAAACAAACAAAAGAATTATAATACAATTTTTTACCGTTTAAATTAGAAGAAATAATTTATCATTCTTCAAATTTCACCATTCCAACAAAAGAAAGATAAAACTGCACAAAATAAAAACACGGGGCTAGAGGCAGAACATTTGTCTTTCATGTATGGAGTCCGAGGTTTTATCCCTGACACTGCAAAAAAACAAAAGGAGAAATGTCATCACTCTTACCAATAGCGAGAAAATACAAGGAAGAATATTCACCTGTTTTTAAAACAAGAGTAACCATACTGTTTTAACTTGAATTAAACTTCTCACTGGAAGAAAAAAATAGTGGCTCTTAAAAAAATTATTTTCTTGTCTCATTATAAATCAACCATGAAATAAAGACAGGTTTTTGTAGTTAGGATGAAAACTAAACCCATAATTTTTTATTATGATTATTTATTTTAGAAATATTTGGTACAACATTTGGTATAATATTGGAACTTTAATTAATTAATTAATTTTAACTTTTATTAGTGAAACACCATGAGGTACAGTTGTAGAATTACAAATTTTTGTGCTTGGGTTTCAATTATACAATGATCAAATACCCATCCCTCCACTAGTGCCCATTTTCCACCAACATGGGTCCCAGTATCCCTCCCACCCCCCATCCCCCCAACCCACCCTGCCTCTATGGCAGGGCATTCCCTTTTGTTCTCTCTCTCCTTTTGTAAACCCATAATTTTTTTTTAAAAAATTTCTTTTTTTTTTTAATTTGTCTGGAACTATGGAAAATCTATTATCACAATAATCATGCAGCTGCGTGGATTTCTAAGTTGAAGTTCATGTTCTCACAGATAAGAAAATGCAGCCTAAATGAGTATGGTGACTGGTCTTGGCCAACTGGTAGTAAACGGGGAGCTAGAACTCACCTTGGCCCACAGATTGCCTAGCTCTATACAGCTAGCCCTGGTAATAGGGCCTCTATCTTCTTGGCATGTTGAGTACCACGAAAAAGGTTAAAGCCTCTGAGAAGCCCTGCAGTGAAGAATTCTCGGAAATTTTGCTTAACTCCCAATTTTTTTGAGGAATCTCCCAAACTTACTCCGCCATGAAACGTGTTCACCTTTTAGAAACATCCCTAACCAGGGCAATCCAAGGGTCCCTGTTAGAGATGGATGGGAAGTAGATCTTAAAGCCCCTACCAACAGCTCATATGATTATCAGCAGCAAATGCAATAGGAGAAAGCACTTCTCCCTGTAATTTGCCATGTGCACAAACAAGCTTGGACTGGGCACAACTCGGACGAACAAAATGCCTATAAGAAGCACAAGAGTTCATGCATGCTGGGGCTGGAGCGATAGCACAGCGGGTAGGGAGTCTGCCTTGCAAACGGACAACCCGGGTTCGATTCCCAGCATCTCATATGGTCCTCTGAGCACCGCCAGGAATAATTCCAGAGTGCAGAGCCAGGAGTAACCCCTGTGCATCGCCAGGTGTGACCCAAACACCTAAAAAAAAAAAAAAGTTTATGCATGCTGCTATTGACTGCAGCCATCACAAGAAAAGCGAATTTGCAGAGTTAAACAGTGAACAGCAGACATACCTTTAGATAATCAGATTATGAAGAAACTTTCTCTCAGGGTCAAGTTTTGTTTGTAACAGATTCTTGACTCCTTAAGTCTACTTGCAATAATCTTTTTACCCACTTTTTACCCTGATTTCTTTAGAAATCAGGAAAAGCAGAAAATATAATTGTAAACGAGAATGTTCTCCAAATTTGCATGTGTCTAATGTTTTACAATTCTTTCAAAGAAGCCTAAGAAATACATCCTTCATAGATCTGGAATACTCTCAATTCTTTAATGTGCATTGATTCTTTGCATCGCTAGGATAGTTTATCCAAGGGCATACGTGGCAGATCATATATTTAGCTTTAGGAGAAATGGAAAGAAAATCAAGCATATTAACTCACTGGGATCACCCTTTCTTTCTTGCCCTGTGCCTGTAATTACAAGTACTATTGAAGTACTAACAAATACACTAATTATGTAACCCTTAGTAGATTATTAAACACTGAATGGTGGTTTCTTTTGTAAGTACCCAATTTAGTACACAAGGCTAAACTGGCAAACAGAGAAGACTCAGAGAGTAATCGCTGGCTAGACAAAATAGAATATAAAGAGAAAGAGAAAGCTGAATATGTACAAAGAATAAAAATCAGTCTAGAAAAATGTCCTCATTTTATTCTGTAAAGTCCCTTAAGTTCTCTTCAAGCATAGAGCATTATTTCTATTATCTAAGATGTTTCTCAGTAACACCATTTTCTTTTGAAAATAACATTTGAGAATTTTAAAATTATTTTTGAAGAGATAATTTTAACTGATAACTGATTAGATCAGGTAAGAACTTATCCAATCATTTATCAAAGGACATTCCAGTTGCTTCCATTTTGTTAATACTTTCAGATGACTGGAAGTGGGATTGTCAGGGTTTGCCATTTTAAAACACTTCATAGCTTTACCCAAAATGGCTGTACCAATTTATATTCCCACCCGCATGGCATGAGAGTTTCTCTTTCTCCCCACCTTCTTCCACAAAAGCTGCTGGTTTCGGTTCAGTTTTGGTTTGGTTTTGTGGGCCCATCCAGAGATGCTCCTGGCTGCACCACACCCAGAAGTGCTCCTACCAAATTGGATGGCGGTCAGCCACAGACAAGGCAAACTCTTTAATCTCTGTACTATCCTTCTGCGCTTGTTGCTACTTTTGATGCAAGTAATTCTCACAGACTGTGATCTTAATTTGCAGGAGATTGCTTTACCAAAAAAGACATTTACAGTGGTGGAGAATGGGCACTGGTGGAGGGATGGGTATTCAATCATTGTATAACTGAAACCCAAGCACAAAAATTTGTAAGTCTACAACTGTACCTTATGGTGTTTCACTAATAAAAATTTAAGAAAAAAAAGACATTTACTTGTACAAAGGAAGAATTCTATTGGTATAGGTGTTCACACTTGCATACCAGTAAACATAATATCTTTTCAGAAGCTATAATCCCCTGATTTCTTTTCCAGAGCTGTTAGCTGCATCTGTCCAGGCAGAGAGAAATTCTCTGGATTACTTTGCATACTTGCTATAGTATAAGCTTCTGCTCTACCTTTACTTAGTCCTTTGCCCAAAGGATCTTCTATTTTCCATCTCTCAATAGTTGGCATCTAGCTTGGCTCACTATGGCCACATGTTTATGAATAAGTAGAGCTGATGAAACCAGAGCTGAAACTTCCTATCTAAAAACTGTGCATTTCTCTGCAGATCCAACCTAGTGAAAAATGGCACATGAAAGTAGAGGTCTAAATACTGCAGATGACAGACTTCTATTTGTGATGGCAGCACATAGCAAAATAACATTGGTGAAACCAGGATAAAGTATGGATATTAAGTACTGTGTAAGCTTCATTGATACATTTACAAATACAGGGAGTGGACAATAGTTACAATGTAACCATAAAGCTAACAAGAAAATAATGTCCTAATTTTGGATTACAAACATATTTAAGAATATTCTGAAGACTGGAACTTTATGTAAATATACTCAGGTCATAGCTATCAGTAAATTCTATTAAGCCTTATTTATTTGGAATATGATCCAACTAAAACATTTTATTATCCTTTATCTTTCTTGCTATTGATAAAGGAATTCTAGAATATAAGAAGGGTAACTGGGCTAAAGAGATTGTACAGTGGTTATGACACCTGCCTTGCATGCAGCCAACCCTGGTTTAATACTTGGTACCACACAGGGCCCCCTGAGCACTACCAGCAGTGATCCCTGAGCAAGAGCAAGGCATAAGTCCTGAGCACAATCAAGTGTGATCCCCCCAAAAGTGATAGATAACAAATCTGTCAGTGCAGGTTCCTTTTGATTTTTACAGTCATCAACAAAACTTTCCTTTGAGAAAGAAGTTTAAATTGGCAACCAACAACGAAAATGTCATGAAAGTTTCTTAAAATTAAAGTGGTTGCTCTCTCTTATACTGTAGCACTGTAGCACTGTCCTCCCATTGTTCATCGATTTGCTCGAGCGGGCACCAGTAACGTCTCACAACAAATTGTGAGACTTGTTATTACTGTTTTTGGCATATTGAATATGTCACGGGGAGCTTGCCAGGCTTTGCCAGGAGGGCGAGATAATTACTAATGAATTGATTTTAGTTTTTTGTTTTGAGGTCATACAATCAATGCTCATGAGATGCTCCCAGATTGGGTTGCTTCCCAGTGGGGCTTGGGGGAACATGCAGTGCCGGAGATAAAACAGGGGCTGGAGCGATAGCACAGCAGGTAGGGTGTTTGCCTTGCACATGGCTGACCGGGGTTCGATTCCCAGCATCCCATATGGTACCCCAAGCACCGCCAGGAGTAATTCCTAAGTGCAAAGCCAGGAGTAACCTCTGTGCAATGCCGGGTGTGACCCAAAAAGAAAAGAAAAAAAAAGATCAAACCAGTTCCCCACCATGGAAAGCACGTGTCCCAGTCCATTCAGCCATCTCTTGGTCTCAGTCAATATACTTTAAGTAGCAATGGTCCAAATCATGTAGATTTTCTAAAGGACTCCAGCCAAAGGTTTCTTTTCCTGTTACAAATAAAACTCCAACCATGAAGACAAGGAAACTGTAGCGATGTTTTTATTGGAAATGAGCTAAACATTACATAAATCAGATGAGGATGCAACAACTTTCACAACATTTAAATATCAAATGAAACACTTTCTCCAAGTCACATAATCCCTTAACACCAAAACACAACCCTTAATGTTGACTCTGACTATCCAGATTAAACAGATTCTAACCCAAACAGCAAAAATGGCAAAGTTTCTTTCCCCAATTTGAAGAGTTCATGACAAACACACAAGTTAATTTTCGCACATGATAGTAACAAGATGACATTTGTCATATTACTGTAGAAAACTACTTCTCCAAATAGAGAAATCTTTAGGAATTCCAAGCAATAAGTTATCAATTGCTTGTCCTAGATGAATGGGGTATCTAGAATCCCAGCGTTTTTCTAGAATGTAAGAATTATACTAATTTTACTAATAAAACTTTATTTTATTGTAAGGAACTTCCTGGACAGCATGCTGATTTGTAACAGGTCATTTCATTTATATTGAGCAATGATACATAGCGGGTTACAGATCCTGTGGTCTACTCACTGAGGTTTCTTGAAATCTTTAGAGCTTTTCCTCTTTCTATGTTATGATAAATTTTAGTTTGTGTATAACATATACCCTTTGAAGAAAATTGTTCCAGGTTATCGAATTATTCCAGGTGATACTATTAATACTGCAAAAAAGCAGTAAAGATAAATATTGTATGAAAAGGCAAAAATGTGGCACCAACCTTCAGAGGCACAGTGATAGAACCATTTCTACAATAGAGAATTGCTGTGTACTTTGAATATTACTTTCCTTCCATATACTCAGCAGCTTATGTGAAGGTCCCATCTGTGAGCTAAGAACAGGAGTGTCAAAATGAAGAATTGGACAGGGGTAAGAGGATCTTGACCTTTCCTTCCCACGGATTGCAACAATTTGTTCTCAAATATTTCAGTTCTCCTAACTTTTCACTTCCAAGGAGACGATGCTTAAGAGCTTATTTATTAGATTCTCTCAGTGGAAGGAGAAGGAAATAGGAAGGAAGGGAGATAGAAAGAGAAAGGAAATAGGAAGGAAGGAAGAGAGAAAGAGAAAGAAAGAGAGAGAAAGGAAGGAAGGAAGGAAGGAAGGAAGGAAGGAAGGAAGGAAGGAAGGAAGGGAGAGAAAGAAAGAGAATATTCAACACTGCCTACCATCTTCAGAAAACCAATAATAATTTTTCTGCCCTAAATCATAATTTCCCTAGTCATGATGTCCTTATCCTTCATTTAAGGTAGAGCACTAAAGTAAGAACTCCTCATTTTGGAGGGAAAAACGGGAAGTGCTTCTCCCTAACTATGGCACCAAGTAAAGGGAAGTTCATTCACAATTGTGGGAGTAATTTAAATAGAAAGTGAGAGAGATGATCTGGACCATTTCAATCCTAAATTAAAAACTGGAGGCCTATAATTTTACTTTGAGTAACAGTATGAGACTAATTTGCAAGGAAATTAACAACATTCTCTTTCTCTTTGAGCAGGGTGGATAATTTGTCGTGACGTCTAACTTTTTCCTTACACATGTCTAAAATAATGTCTCACTAGACTCAAAACGCATGTAGATGCCACAGGCTGGTTGGCACAAAGCAGGTTGAGAAGGAAAGCCTCCGCTTTCCTGAAAATCTCAAAGGCGCATGACTGGCAATTAGTTGTTTCCGACTTTCAGACACATGCCCATCATGTTACCTCAGAGAACTCAGTTGAGTTCTCTCAGCCACCACTGAGTGAAACATGCTGTTCTTTGGAGAAAAAAAAATACATTCGTGTTCTTCAAGTATATTTCAATACATAAAGATGCTCTAGCCTTGTTTCAGTACGAAGACAAAATGACTTTACATGTGACCAAGAGGGAACTTCCCTTTTAACTCCCCTTGGATGTACGTCATGAAGTTTCACTTAACAAAAAAAAAGCTCTAAATATACATGTACTTTTATTATCTGAAAAGCACAAATTCTTTTCGTCCAAAGAATTTTATAAATATGTACATAGTCACTCACGGCCACCACCACAAAAACCAGTCTCGGTATATGCAATGGCTTAGGACTGGCCACTCCAATGACAGTAACGTCTGTGGCCTAGGACAGTGCTCAGCACCAGACATCAGTGGTTCCATGGCCTCTTGGGTCCAGTTCAAGCCAGCAGCCTGCAGACTCTTCCCTCAGCAGCCTTCTGAAGACCTTTTTTGCAGGAACGGCACTTATTGGTTTATGGCTTGTTTCCGCTTTTGGCTTTGTTGTTAGGGGGACAGTTGAGTTCTCTCAGCAGGGATTCGCAATGGGCCAAAGCATCTGCTGGCAGCAGCTTCCGAATTTGCTCCACTGTCTTCTGATAAATTATTTTCTCTTGCTCCAAGGTCCGGATTAAAGACTTCATTTTGGTCTCTCTAGTCAACAGATTTTCCAGGTTGGATTCCAGGGTCTGGATTTTAGCGTGTGCTATCTGTGTGGGGTGAGAAAAACAAATTCCTTCCAATCAAAAAGGTGAAGACTCTGGTTCTTTGTTCCAGATTTGATTAGACCTTCTGCATTTGAAGTGATCATAGCTAATGAATCAAGCAGTGCATGGAGCAAAAGGTCTGAAACCCTCCCTGATGTATTTTATTTCCTCATAAATTTATTTCCTAATAAATCCAACTGTGGTAACTAACAAAGAACATCTGATTTCATGAAATCTGGCTAAAATGCAGGTTTCGGTCATCATTCAATAAATAACAGTGGGTGTTAGATAATATTGGTTTGTCTTAGGCAATTTAGGTTTATTGAGTTACTCCCACCCCAGTGCTCCTGAAGCATACCCAATTCCATCAAGCACTAATAATCCTATATTGCTTTTCTCTTTCCTTTATGTCCTTCACATGGTTTAGCAATATCCTTTTTGTATAGTTACAGGAAGACATTTGATGCTATGCTTTTGTAACATGGGAGTTCACTGACTCCAAATAATATTTACTTTTGAGTATCCATCATATTTACCTGACTTAAGTAAGCCTCAGTTGCCCTTACTTCCTAACATCCCCAAAAGGAGGGTCCCAATGAGGGATCTGGATGGACCCAGGGCAAGCTGTAAGCTATCCTGGTATCAAAAAAGAACAAACTAAGTGCTGTAAGAAATATAGTAAGTTAAGAACATGAAGAATCATGGAACAAACTCTGCCATGACCTGAAAATAAGTAACTGATAGATCCTGCTGGGGTTAGGAAAGACTAACCTGGCCTAAGAACTGTAGTCTGGGATATATAGCGAGATATCTCCAGGAAGAGCCAACCTTTAAGCTCTTACTGAGATCATACAAAATGACTAGAAACATTAGTAAGAAGTAAACTTAATATGTTTGTTTAAATGGATTACTAGCTTAAGAAAGGAGAAAACAACACACCCTGAATGGAATCCCGCCCTTGAACAGATCTCCTAGTATTCTAGAGTGCTGAACTCTCAGATGAGATTTTGTCCTCAAGTTAACTTCCCCTGAAGGAGAGGGACTTTGTTTATTGTTATGATAATATTCAATACCACCTATGTGGTGTACCCCCACCCTTCACAATTTCTATATAACTATGTTGTAAGAGAGAAGAGGAGATGAACTAAACGGTCATTGAATACCAATCAGCCTGTGGCCCCATTCCTTTGTTGCTGCTGGCTTGCTGGGGGATGGTTCTCAGCTACCAAACACACTCACACTTTGGTCTCACAGTGGAGACTCCTCTATCCACAGACCAAAAGGGGAACAATAGATTCCTGACACTGCATTCAGTGACTACAGAGATGTTCTGCCTTCTGACTTTCTAGAAAGGCTGGGCTTTATAATATACACACCTGGAATCTTAACAGTTTTTTTTTAATGGATGTAAGAGATGCTCACATAATTTGGAAATCCAGTGGTGATTACTACATTGAACTGCTGCTGGGAAAGTATGCAACGATTCATAAAAATTGGCATAATACAAAGCAGGCACAAATCCACCTTCTCTGATAAAGAAGCGCTCAATTGATCATGGTCAATACCCAAGTAATAAAGAACAGTGAGCCAGCTACTTATTTTTCTTTATAAAAATAGAGAATGTTGACTTTTATTTTTTGAAAAAGAAAAAGAATACATTTTCTACAGGACAGAACAAGTGTTAAATGAAGTGAAATAAATTAGGGTTTCTATTCTTGGGGAACAATTATTCTTGAGATGCCCCATTCCTAAACTATTTCTCTCTTAGATGGTCTTTTTAGCACTTGTTAGACCAACTTTTCTGGGACATCACAAAGAAGCAGAACTTTATGGGTTGGAGAGATAATCAGCTGGGAGGGAGCTTGCTTGCACGTGGCCATCTGGGTTTGATCGCTGGCATCCCATATAGTCCCCTGAGCCCCAACTGAGCAGAGTCAGGAGTAAAACTTAAGAAGCATCAGGTACAGCAGAAAAACCAAACCAACCAACCGGGGTTTTAGTGATCTCTAATTTGGGACAGGTGCAGAGCTAGAGGATAGGGTTAATGAATATCAGCAAGCCAACACACTCTCCCAAAAGGTTTGCCACCTAATACTCTTCTACTTGTCACTTAATATTTGCCCCTCAAATCTGCATACATGAAACATATCATAGAAGTTCCCAGTGCAGAGTATTAGTCCATACTAAATTTTTATGGCATTTGTGTGCATTTATTAGTGAAGACAAGAGATGTTATATCCTCATGTAATTGTAAACTCCTTGATGGCTAAAATTATGTGTTACAGGTTTGTATTCAATTCTCTTAAAACAAGTCTCCTTTCCTTCGCATTTCTGTGACTTTTACTCTAGGCAAGCCTTATTGTTCCCAGTCAGATTTTTTTTTTTTAAGATTTTATTGTTGAGTCACTGTGAGATAGATCTTTTCATAGCTATTCATGATTAGGTTTCAGCCATACAGTGTTCCCGTAGTCATCCCTGATTCCTTTAAATGATTTCCAGCTGTTCTTCTTACCTGTTCTCCCCATTCTAATTGGTTCAAGTTTCCAGGTTTCTAGATTGGCCTTTCTATAGTGTGGCCTGCAAACTTTGAGAGATTTCCCTTTCAACAGGATTCAAGTCTGGCTCTTCTGCTTGACACTGAAACTTATTACAATCCTGCTTCCATCAGATTTATCTCGCCGTTTCCTAACATAAACCTTAAATGGATGCCCAGCTAACTCTGCTGCCCTGCCACCTCCTTATTTATACAAACCTTCCACCCCTCTCCCATTTCTTCTACCAACTGTCCATAATACAGTTCAAATCCCAAGTGCCCCAGTTTGTCAAAGTTCCATATTCAATCCCACCTCCCTGGAACTTAACCACGTATATGCAACACCCAATAAATACTGAATTATATTTTGCTTCTGATTGCCATCTGATGACCGTGGAAGTGTATAATTTTTCTCCTGGGTGATATTTTCACTGATGTTTGCATTTTGTTTACAGCACTCACAGCTTTTGGACATTGTGTGGTCACAGGCTCTAAGTCCGCTGTGGTCAATCTATGTTCCAGTATAGTTTTAGTGGGCAGCAGAATATGGGTATTTGGGAGCGGTCAAACCTTTCTCTCTTTACCTGTAATTTTTCTAGCAGGTCCATGTTTTGTCTTTTCAGATGATTATTGGCCCTCTCCAGTTTCTCCAAAGGCTCACTATCCTCGCAGGCATAGGAAGATTCCTGAAGTTCATCTTGCAGCACGTGATATTCTACCTCATAGGCATGTAACTGTTTAGAAATATCCATCTCAAAAACCTGCACAGGGAACAGCCTTGCGTTAGTCTGGCCTTTGGCTTATGTTAGACTGAGAGACAATTTTTCTCTACCTGGTGTATTTCCTATAAATTTCCAACTGCTTCTTAACAAGGAAAAGAAAAAAATAACAGGCGTGACTTGTCAACTGAAGAACAGATTGACTATGTCTCATCTACACAACTGAAACAGTCTGGTGATGAGACCAGGACATGACAATAAGTTCATGTTCAAAGGTATTTTTGCAACTAAATATAGCCATTCACTGATTGTTTCCCCAAATGTAGTAAACTAAATAAACATTGCTAAATAATATTATCTGGGCCAGAGAATCTTGGCTTATTAGCAAGCAAAAAAACTGCATGGGATATCTATAATTTGGAGACCAAAAGCATTTTGAATTATTTGTCACAGGGACAGAAAGTTTTATTAGATTCATTTATAAGTTGATCTATGTGAGCCTCTGAAGAGTCACTCATTCATTCTACCACTAAGAATCTTCAAAACTGCCTTCCTTGAACATTAAGATTCTACTGGGGCTGACCCAACTCTCCATGTTGTCATAAAATGGGAATAGGTAACCTCCAGTGCCTAAAGGAAAGGGAACCCAGGAGAAGAGACAGTACAGAGGGTAGTTGCCTGTCTTACGCAGTCGACCGGAGTTTGATCCAGAGCATTCAATACGGTCCCCAAGAACTTCCAGGAATGATTCCTGAGTTACAGAGCCAGAAATAATCCCTGAGCACCACTGGGTGTGGCCCAAAAACCTAAAAAGGTGTTTTGTTTCTTTTTTAAATAAGGGTGAGACAAGCAACTGCCCTTTAAGCTATGAACACGAATTCTGTGGGGAGGAAAGAAAAAAAAAAGTCTAATTGCTTTACCCTCTTGTTATACTCAACTGTCACAAACTAAATGAAAAAATCAGACAATCTGTTCATTCAATGAAGCAGCACTTCCTTCCTGTTCAATGGACATATATAGAACTGACTATTAAGCAACCATTACAAATTATGATATAGACCTATATTTATGGGCATGGGGAAATGACCACTATACAGCATCAGAAAAAAATCTGATACTGTGGCAGCATGTATAGTATGACTTCACTTATAGAAAACTGCATACATATGTAATTGTGTTTGTGAACAAGAAGATCTGTAGGAGGAAGCAGGAAGTTTAAATGTTTTAAGTGTCAAGGTAGTAACTTGTTTTCCAGTTACTTTTATTTTCTTCTATGTACTTCTTGTCATTGTTTGCTTTTTTGTTTCTCCTTTTTCTGATTTTAAGCCACACCCAGTGGTGTTCAGGAACTAATTCCAGCTTCATGCTTAGATCATGCTCTGAGAGTCACACAGTGCAGGGGACTGAACATGGGTTTCAGGCATCCCGGCATGCAAAACAAGTGCAGCAACCTAAAACCTATCTCCCTAGCCTATGTATGCATTTTTTGGCTATAGTTTTTGTTTGGAGGGAAAACCCCCAGCTGAACTCAGGGCTTATTCCTGACTCTGTGCTCAGGGATCACTCTTGGCAATGTTTAGGGAACCACATGCAGTAGGCTATATAGTTTTATATAGAAAATAATATATTTTCTGACCATTCTATTGCTAATTTTGAAAGTTTTGTTGGAATCAAAATCAAATCAAAATCAAAGGCCCTCCCGTTGATCATCGATTTGCTCGAGCAGGCCCAGGAACGTCTCCATTGGAGACTTTGTTGTTACTGTGTCTGGCATATCGAATACTCATGCTCAGGAATTACTCCTGGCGGTGCTTAGGAGACCATATAAGATGCTGGGGATTGAACCCGGTTCAGCCGCGTGCAAGGCAAACGCCCTACCCGCTGTACTATAGCTCCAGCCCCAAGGAAAAATCTATTTAAAGTAAACTTTTTATGTGCCAAGAGGGGCAGGTTGGGATTGGGAGAGAAACTGGAGATACTGGTTGGAGGGAAGGTCACACTAATGGTGTCAGAACACTAAATGCTTGAAACAACTGCATCAACAATTTTGTAAATCACATTGTTTTTAATAAAAGTTAGTCAAAAATAATAATATATAGTTCTTGTCAGAGTGCGAATTAACACTATGCAATTCTTCAGTCGAATCAGTTGCATTTGCTACCGAAAGTATTATATAAAAAGTGGAAGGATGATGAAGATGATAATGATGATGGTGATTATTCCTACTTTTCAGGGAAGGCTGTTGAAACTCAGCAAGATTACAACTTTCCCAGCACTAGTCATGCAGTTTTAGGAGGACAGAAAAGCAGAATAAGATCTCACTTTCATGGAGCTAAAGCCATAGTACAGAGGGTAGGGCATTTGCCTTGCACGCAGCCGACCCGGGTTCAATTCCCAGCATCCCATATGGTTCCTGAGCATGACCAGGAGTAATTCCTGAGTGCAGACCACGAGTAATCCCAGTGCATCGCCGGGTGTGACCCCTCCCCCCCAAAAAAGAAAGATCTCACATTACTGGAGCTGGACTGTCAGTAGAGCAGTGGGGTGTTTGCACTGTATTAGCCCCCTGCCCTGGATCTATGCTGCATAAGCCCCCCTCCCTCGTGCCCCGCCACCCCCCCCCCCCCGGATTGAATCCCTGGTACCTCACATGGTCCACTGAGCCTGTCAGGAATGATCCCTGAGCACTGCTGGGTGTAGCCCCCAAACAAAAACAAACAGAAAAAGATCTCAAATTCCTTTCTCTTGCCTTTTATCTGTTCTCCCCAGTGTCTCTAGGGTGTGGTAGTACTGTAGCACTGTCCTCCCCGTTGTTCTTCAATTTGCTCAAACGGGCATGAGTAATGTCTCCATTATGAGACTTTTTGTTACTGTTTTTGGTATATCAAATACGCCACGGGGAGCTTGCCAGGCTCTGCTGTGCGGATGGGATACTCTCGGTAGCTCACCAGACTCTCTGAGAGGGATGAAGGAATCGAACCTGGGTTGGAAACATGCAAGGCAAATGCCCTAACCAATGTGCTATCGCTCCAGTCCAAGACATTGAAAAATGTTATCAATATGCATCCAGCATGCCTTCTCTACAAATCTGGTCTTACTCAGAAGAACAACCTTTGACTATCTCTTAGATGCTGCCTTTGAAGAGTCTGGGAGGAGACCTGTGGCCTACAGATGGGAGTAGACCTGTGGCCTCCATGGGCTTCTGACCCACTCTCTGCTTTTTTCATCCTGTTGTAACTTGGAAGGCTGACTCTGTGGTCTGCATTCCATACTGTCTTCCTCTTTCTTGCTGGCGCCTGCATGGGGATGGCAAATGGGAGAGGGCTGGTATATCTCTCGCCTGCTCTCTTCCAGCCTGGCTTCACCAAGAACACAGCAGCCTCCACACACTCTCCAGGTCCGTTGCTCTGGCTCTTACCGGATCTGGCAACACTAGTTAGATACTGCTTTGACCACCCTGGCTCCAGAAGGATGAAGAATTTCCCCTCTACTAGTTCCTGGGTGCCTGTGTATCATGTTAGGCTTTACTATTTACTAGCTCTGCCGCCCTCTGATGAATCGGTACCTTCCTCTGCCTCCTGGAGGTGGACACCATTTCCTTCAAGAAACCCTGACTGGGGTATCATCTTCTCCTTTTAGCCTTACAAAAGCTCTTGCATCTGTACTGTCTCACTTTGGAGATAAAAAACAATGTGACACGGAAATACCATGGATGGTTCTCAGTAAATTCAGAACTGAGCTCCCCAATGACCCAGAAATTCCAATTTGGGGCATCTCTGCCCAGGACAGAAAAACATTCATTTAAAAGGATGTATGCACACCGTTATTCATTGCAGCACTAAGTATATAATAGCTAAGATTTGTAATCAACCTAGATGTCTAATGGCAGAAAAGTGAATCATGAAGCTGTTGTATAAATATACAACAGAATACTACACAGCTGTAAGGAACGCAATCTGTGACAACATGGATAGAGCTGGAAGATATTATGTTAAATGAAGACATAATGAGAATAAATAAGGATGAAACCACTTATTGTGGTATTTATGCTGACTGGATGAGGAAATGCAACAGTTTAAAGGGGGGATGACCGCATCACCCTTGAGTATAGGGAGCAGGAAAAAGGAAATAGAATGGAAGGGGCGGGGAGAAAGGACAGATGAAAAGGAACAGGAGATAGGGATCAAGGAGATTCAGGTACAACTAGTGATGTTAAGGAACAAGAGAGTTAAACAGCCAAACCAAAGAGTCAACAACAGTGAAATCAGGTATGGGAGGGAACCTGGGAACATTAGAGGAGGGAAGCTCACATTGGTGGTGGGGTCGGTGCTGGACGACTTTGTCTAAAACTCAGCTGTGAATGACTTTGTAAATCAGGGTAAGGTAAAGGTAAAGGCCCTCCCGTTGATCATTGATTTGCTCGAGCGGGCCCAGTAACATCTCCATTGGAGACTTTGTTGTTACTGTGTCTGGCATATCGAATACTCTCGGTAGCTTGCCGGGCTCTCCGAGAGGGGCGGAGGAATCGAACTCGGGTCGGCCATGTTGGCCGCTTGTAAGGCGAACGCCCTACCCGCTGTGCTATCGCTCCAGCCTTTCATAAAATTTTAGAATCTTTTTTAAAACAAATGTACACATATATAAACAGTGTTAGAGGTGCAAGGCAAACAACAAACAAAGGACGGAATATCAACACAACATTGACCCTAAAGATGCTGCTCTTTGCTCCACCTACTCTGTAAGTCTATTAGAGCAAAATTGATATTTATAAAAATGCAGAAATATTCATGTTATTCTCAGGTGCTCCGAATTCTGAATTCTGTCTTCCAGATTCTACTTGATCTACACAAAAAGAACTTCTGGCTCATTCTGTAGCACGGAATCACCTTTTCTATGCAAAGTCACAGACAGTGTTCTAAAGGAGACATTTCATGGTCCTTTTATTTCTGGATAAAATAAATCTGAGCAAACATGCTAAAATAATATAACTATTATAATTTATTGTGAAAAATATGAATTTTCATGATTTTTTAAAAAATCATGAAAAATAATTCTTGTGAAGCAAAACAAAACATATAATTAGCAGAGAAACTGGAGTATAGTCTGATATATTATTACCCTTTAAATCATACCTGGGTGATAATTTTTTCCATTTCTGATGTATTCATATCAGGTATCGTGTTCTTAAGGAACTCAACAATGTTTTCAAAGTTTTCACATTCCATTATCAGTGTTTCTTGGCTGCTCAATAGGCTGAGTGCCACCTTAAATATAACTTCTGTTCCCTGAAGAAAGATAATATCTAAAAGAAAAAAAGAGAGAGAGAATATGGTTGTCATGATCAAATTATGCATACACTATTGTAAAATATTTAAATTTTACTATAAAGAAATTTTTGTGAGGAGTTTTGCTTTTGATTTTATTCAGTGTAGTGAAACAGAATGTTTTGCAAAGATAACGTGTCCCAAATCTCTTAGATTAAAAAATTTAATGATAAAACATTAATTTGATTAATATCCTTATTTAGGACTATCATATAAAAGCAGTATTAAAAAATAAAAACAAGTCACAAATATGTTTGTCCACATATATTTTATAGTTTTTAGTAATAAATTTAAGAGACTGAGAAAGAAAACTGCAATGTCAATGAACTCATATTTAGATTCTTCTTTTTCCAACAGAAATGCAAAAACAAATCAGCATAACCAATTGGCACCATTTAAAATCATTACCTTAATGAAAAAAGTGAATGAGGCAACTAATGTCATTAAACCTATACTGGAGCAGGAAATTAAACAAAACCTTGAGCAATCCAAACAACATATAACTGAAATCAAAAGGAAAAGCAAGAGAGAGAAGTTACTCTTAACTCTGAACTCTGATGCCTAACAAATACAAGGAGACACTAAATTTTGAAAATTATCAAATCCTTTTGTGTAAAAGTCATATTCAATCTGTCAAAGGGGGGATGAGGAGGAGGAGGAAAAAGGAAGAGGAGGAGGATGAGGAGGTAGAAGAAGAGAAGGAGAAAGAGGAGGTAGAAGAGAATTAGGAGGAGGAAATGGAGGAGGAGGAAGTGATGGAGGAGGAGGAGGAGAAGATGAAGAAAAGAAGAAGAAGAACAACAACAACAACGACAACTACTACTACTACTACTACTACTATTACTACTACTACTACTACTACTTAAACATGGTCTTCTTTTTGCTCATGCATTTTTCCTTCAAATGAAAGTCTCTATTTACCAAATTCAAAGCAAAGCATCTTATCTTTAAAACTGAAAACTGGGGCCAGAGCAATAGGAAAGTGGGTAGGGAATCTGCCTTGCATGCAGCTGACCAGAGTTTGATACCTACCGTGGTGGTCCCCTGAGCACCACCAGGAGTAATTCCTGAGTGCACAGCCAGGAGTAACTCCTAAGCATTACTGGGTGTGACCCCGAACAAACAAATAAGCCATCCAAAATAAATAAAACTGAAATCTGTCCAAACATTGATAATAATCTCAGATTTCACAATGTTCTATCCCATGTTTTAAACTCTTGGTAATGACCCACAGTTGTCCTAATACTCATACCATATGACAAAAAGTTCTTGGTTTTTAGTTCCTAAAAGTAGAATCATTAGTACCAATGACTCTGGCTCTAACAGACATAAAAAATGGCCAGGACCTTTGTGACATACATTGAGGTCCCAATGGCATCATGGGAACGAACCTCTCATGGACAGTTTCTGTTTTATATTTTATATTATGGGATTATACAAACCCAACTAAAGCTTTGTGAACAGATGCAAACAAGTTCCACAAAGGGAACACAAACCATGTCATAGTCTTATTCCTAGTCCTCGATACTGGGAGGGAACAAGGACAGAAACTCAAACCCAGGCTTGAAGATGTTCTGATTCCCGGTGCTGAGTTCAGGGCTGCTCTCTAAGTCACCAGGCTCAGAGACCAGCACTGCCCCCCCAATTGCAGCAAAGGACAGTCACCAAAGCAACAAAGCAGCAATGAATGTGTCTCTGTGAATAATAAAGAGCCAGACTAAGAAATGACATTAGGAGTCACATTGATGTAGGTATTTCTACTGGCCTAGTGAGAGGACATGTTTAGAATCCAGAATGGATAGGACAATGGAAAATAAATAAAAGAGAAGTAGGGGAAAATCCAGGAAACGAGAGATGCACTGAACTTCATGTTTTGCAATCAGGAAATCCTTGTTTGAGATCCCCAGCACTGCACAGCTCCTCGCGAAAACCACTGGGAGCACAGAACCAGGAGTATTCCCCCAAAGCACTGCTAGGACTGGTTTCAAACTAAAAACACAACAACAAAAAAACCCTGGAAATTTTGTAGACAGAGTAAGTCCTTAGTTCAGATACAAAATTAAAAAAGGAGTGTCATATTGGAACACTGTATGCATGAAACCCTATCATTAACTGAAGTCACAGTGCCTAAAGTTTTTTTCAATTAATTAAAGTAAATGCTTTAAATACAGTACAAAAACCAAAAAAAGGATATTCTGATTTTTAGGCATCAATAAACACAAGGTTTCCACTGAAGTTAACTCAAAGGCAAGAACCCAATTCTTTCTCCTTTAAATTTTAATTTTATTTAAGACCAATGTATTTTAAGCTATTCTCAGAATGGAAGCAGGAACATTTATTAAATTCCCCTAGCAATTTGATGTTCCATGTCATTCACGATAGAACAATCAGAGCACCAATATGATTAGAACTAAATGTCTTAGAGGGGCTGGAGCAACAAAACAGCAGGCAGGGTACTTCTCCTGCACATCGCTGACCCAGGTTTAATTTTCCAGCATCCCATACGGCCCCCTGAGCACAGCCAGGAGTGATTCCCCAGCGCAAGGCCAGGAGTAAGCCCTGAGCACGGCTGGGTGTGGCCCAAAAAGGGAAAAAAAACAACAGGTATTATTTTTTAAATATATAACATTGTTCCATTTAATTACACACATCTCTTACCAAAAACTCTGGCCACAAATCCCAAGGAAAATTGAGAGGCAAACAATGTGAGGAACCAGGGAGCAGCATAAAGACTGGGGCTGATTTCATTGTTTTCAAGATGATTGTAGAGATCTCTGTGATAGTCATGCAGAAGTCTGGACAGCTGGTACATTTGAATCTAAAGTTCATTGGGAAAAGAAAAAGAAAGCATGTAAGATATGCTCATTTTCATCTTATTATGCTAATACACAACAATTTGCAAGTTTAGTCAAGAAAATAACATTATTTTATGATGATGATGTCAACGTGGATATAAAGTTCAAATTCACTTCATTGAGGTCACAAGGCAGGTTACCAAAAGTCCTAAAGAGCAAGTTTCTTGGTGGGTGTTTATAGAGATGGAAAAAGTGGTTTTTCTTGCATCAGAAGACACTGCATTAGCAAATTAATCGAAACTGTCTGGGCAAAGGAACCTTATTCTAATTTCAGAACAAATTCAGAAGAAACTTCTTTCTAGTAAACCTAAAATATTCTATTCAGAAACAAAATTTGTCTGTTTGCTGGGCCTGGTCTTTGTTGGACGAGAAAACAAAAAACTGTCCTCCCGTTGTTCATCGATTTGCTCGAGCGGGCCCAGTAACGTCTTCATTGTGAAACTTCTTGTTACTGTGTTTGTCATATTGAATACTCTTGGTAGCTTACGGGGCTCTCCTAGAGGGGTGGAAGAATCGAATCCGGCTCAGCCAGGCTGGCTGCGTGCAAGGCAAACACCCTACCACTGTGTTATTGCTCCCGACGAGGAAATTCAGTTTTAGACCTGCTAGATTTAAAGGGCTCTAGATCTGGGAGAGTTTGAGATGTGAATCATAGAGCCCAGCACCACCAGAGTTTCTAATTTGCTGGATCCCGGCAGCATAGCTTTTCTAAAGGAGATTAAGCAAAAAAAAAAAAAAAGTTCACTTTTTATGTTCTGGCACAAGAAGAAATTATTTCACTTGGCTACTGACTAGTATTTGTGAACAAGGATCAAAGACAGCGTGGGGATGGATGACGGGCACTGGTGGAGGGATGGGCACTTGATCATGGTATAACTGAAACCCAAGCACAAAATTTGTAAGCCTATAACTGTACCTCATGGTTTTTCACTAATAAAAAAAGAAAAAAAAAAAGACAGCAGATAGCAACTTCTAAACTCTTGTGTCTGTGATAATCAAAGTCAAGGAGTAAACAACAAATTTGTGAATTGTGTTTTCATTAAAATTTTTATTCCCACTGTGGGAGATTCAGTATTGAATCATTGATCAGTTATACCAGTTTGTTGTTTTGATGTGACATACATACAGTATTTCAATAAATCTAACAGAATCTTTTGTGTGTGTGCGTACTGGGGGCAGATGGGGGTGGCAAGTTAGTCAAAAAGTGCTAAGGAACTCTGGGCTCCCTTCTGGCAATTAATTCTCAGTCAACAGGGACAAAGATTCCATGCAAAGTCCTGGAGAGACCGTGCTGCCAGAATCTGTGGCACCAGGAACAGCCAGGCCACTCCAGCAATGCACAAGGGTCTCCAGGGCTTCACTTGAGAACCATGTGGTGTCAGGGATGGAACTGGAGTTCCATGCAAGGCAAGTGCCTTACCCTCTATACTCTCTCTCATCTCAGAATTTAATTTATTAAAAGGAATCATTAAGGGCTGGAGCGATGGCATAGCAGGTAGGGCGTTGGCCTTCCATGCGGCAAACCCGGGTTCGATTCCCAGCATCCCATATGGTCCCCCAAGCACTGCCAGGAGTGATTCTTGAGTGCAGAGCCAGGACTAACCCCTGAGCATAGCTGGGTGTGATCCAAAAAGCAAAAAAAAAAAAAAAAAAAAAAAAATCATTAATATCTAGCTCAGTCAGCTGTATAAATACATTTAAATAACCATTAGATTATAAATTCAACAACTGTTTTCAGAACACAATACAAATATCACATGACTTTTCAAGAAAAAAACTTCTAATATTAAATATAAACATGGTTAATTATTTTGGGGCTCTTATCTATATAACACTTAACTTTGGAAAATAATGCTCCACACAAACTATAAAAGGGAAACCTTTAAGAGCCCCACGGGAGGTCAGAGCTAGGAAATAAGAAATAGGACTGCAGTGAAACAGGAAACCTTTGGAAAAGAAACAAAACAAAAACAAAAAACAAGGTGTTTGCCTCATTGAGTCCTATAGAAAAAGACAAGTATTTCCCTCAGGTAATTCACAAATTCAAAAGGAAATAGTTGCTTCTCTTCTAATTTAAAGTAGTATTTTGGTAACACAGAAACCAAATAAGTCTCATTAGCAAAATCAAAAGAAAGCAGCTCATCAAAGGTATTTTGTATTCAGCAGGGATAGTAGTTCAGAAGTAACATGAAGATTCTCTAAAAAGTTTTTAAGAATTTTACTTTCTCCCAACATTTGAAACATTTCTTCCCTCAAGATATGTTTACCATCAATTTCTTTTTTGGAAAGGGAAAATAGAAATACAATTAGTCGATTTTCCTCCCAATGAAAGTGACAAAAGATCATTTGTTGAGAAGAAATCTTTCTTCATTTAATTTTATCTTATAGACAAAATGGCGGGCTGGAGTGATAGCACAGTGGGTAGGGTGTTTGCCTTGCACACAGCCCACCTGGATTCGATTTCTCCGCCCCCTCAGAGAGCCTGGCAAGCTACGGAGAGCATCCTGCCCTTACAGCAGAGCCTGGCAAGCTCCCGTGGAGTATTGGATATGCCAAAAACAGTAACAAGTCTCATAATGGAGATGTTACTAGTGCCCGCTCGAGCAAATCGGTGACCAACAGGAGGCCAGTGCTAAAGAGCTACAGACAAAAGATGTGCAAGTCAGAACCACTGTCTAGAAACCCATGGCAAAATAAGTGTATGAAAAATAAAGGACCTTTGGTCTATCTGACAGGGGTGAGGCGGTGGTGGAGGGAGAACAAAGTTTGAGAAGAACCACGGCATCTTCAAGCAAAATAGCTACGATTCTTTCTATCTGACAAGCTGAGGAAACATAAATAAAGATGTCCTGGTATCTTCTCTCAGGTAACACACAGACCTGAGGGAGAGAAACCAGGTCTCTTCCTGTAATCGCTTGCTTGTTCACTTCATGTACTGGATGGAACAATGATACTGTGCATACATATCAAACGCTTAGAAGTTTAGCAAAAACCAAGGGGAGAAAGACAAAGAGTGATCTCATTCACAGATGGCATATAAAGAAGCTAGGGACTGGACAATATAAAATGAAAACAAACCCTTAGACTCTAATAACAAGAATGAAGTCACCGAGAGTGACAAGTGTGGGAGGGAAATGACGTCTATGGACAGTGGTGGAAGTATCTGACACTTCACTGGCTGATATGATGTGGTAAACATCATACTCCAAAATTTGCGAAGATTTCCATTTTTATAGACCATTATTACTTCCCTTAAAAACATTTTGTAAAAGTCTGCACTGAAACAGTGAATTAAAACGCCCCTGTATTGGGGCTGGAGCGATAGCACAGCAGGTAGGGCGTTCACCTTGCACGCAGCAGGACCGGGTTCAATTTCCAGCATCCCATATGGTCCCCTAAGCACTGCCAGGAGTAATTCCTGAGTTCATGAGCCAGGAGCAACCCCTTTGCATCGCCAGGAGTGACCCACAAAGCAAAAAAAATAAAAAATAAAATAAAATAAAACATCGCTGCATTAATCCAAATTCCAAGATAAGGGGTCCAAACTTTCTTTAAGTTGAGGACTGCCATTAAGATTTCTGTTAAGCCTTTGGCTAGAACAAGGCTTACCTGGAGCGACATCATGTCAGGTCTGTACTGCTTGCGGAAGCCCAGGTCATACATGAGGAACTTGAGCATTTCGAAGGCTTGCTCCTCACTCATGTGCAGAAGCAGCACCCCCGCCACAAAGCTGATGCCCTGGCAGTAGCCCACTTCTTTGTCCAGCAAGGAGTACGCCTTTAAGAGGTTGAAGAGGGACAGCTGACCGGCTCCAAGCTGTGCCGAAAAGTAGGGGTGAGTCGGAAATGTCCTTCCTGCAGAGGAAATGAGAGCAGGGGTTCTGGAGATGCCCTGAGGTGTCCAACACCAGGGGGTAAAAAAGGCAATTCAGAGATTTTCTTCAGGGAAATTAAAATACCAAACCAGGGAGATTAAAAATACCAAACCAGGAAGACTTACTGCATGTACTCAAGGGACTTCAAGACCCCTTTCCAGTAAATCCTACATTCTACCTACTCAGACATCACCTCAACTCTACACATGTGATGACAGAACACAACCAGCACCACTTTCTGGGGGAAAAAAAAATTCATGAACAAAAGTGCATCCAGAAGAGATCTAGAAGAATAAAACATGAAAGGTATTCTGCCTAAAAATTAAGGCAAATTCTGAAACAAGCTTCTAACTGAAGTCAGAATTCTCTAAGAGGTATTATAGTATTTCAAAGGAAATCTTAGAGATGGTATCATGAGTAAGGTGCTTGCCTTGTAACATTGCAGATCCCTGGTTCAATTCCCAGAACTGCAAATGCTCCTCTGAGCACAGAACCCGGAGTGATCCCTGAGCACAGAGCCAGGAGTCAATCCTAAGAATAGTCAAGTTTGGTCCCAAAACAAAGCAAAGCAAGTCAAAAAAGAAAGGAAAAAGAAAAGTAAAAAATTTCTTAGTAGTTTATAGGCAGATTTATTTCTGTTCTTTTTTATAATATGACACATAATGTGTTGGGTAACATTGCTTTGTCCTTCCACAAGAAGCTTAGGTTTATCTGGTTACACCCATCAATCTGGTTACACCCATCACAGTGCTCCTGAAGCACTTGGACTTCCATTGTGTTTATCTGTAAACAGTCTTCCCTATGCTCTCCTTCCCACCCAGTTAATCAGCTTTCCCCTTAATCAGACTTTGTTAATTTGTAAGATCAGTTTCCCAGAAATCTATGATTTTATATATATGAGTGAAATATTGCCTTTCTCCTCTCCTTATGCCTTATCAACAGTTTACTTTAAAGTAATATCCTTTTTGTATAGATACAGGAAGACCGTTAACATTATGCTTTGTAACTTAGGATTTGATTGGCCTTGAATATTATTCACTCCTGGGCATCTGCTTTCTCGACTTAAGCCTCAATTGCCCTTAGTTCCTAACACCCCAAAGCAGGGTCCCGACGAGGGACTGAATGGACCCAGGGCAAGCGGTGAGCTACCCTGGCAGCGAAATGGGCCAGGCCAAAGTGCCATGATTCTTAACTATAAGAGTTTGATCATAGACAAATGCTGTCATGATCCAAAGGTAACGACAAGACTAGGATCCTGCTAGGGGTGGGAAAGACTATCTGGCCTGAGCACCGTAGTCTGAGATCGCGATGGCCCTAGGAGAGCAATTCTATAAGTTTAAGATATTTCTTACTGTATCCATACAAAATGATTTATATTATATTCTTATATGCTTGTCGGACAAGGAGAGGAGAGGCATACCCATGGGATTATGCTCTAGGATGGGTCCTTCTGCTGAGGAAGGATCTGACCTAGGAGTGGTCTTCCCTGAGGCTAAGATTTCTACCCCTATTGATTTCTACCCCTATTGATTGTGACCACACCTATGTGTAATTGTTTCCCCAATTCCTCTTGGAGAGAGATATAATGAGACTGTAGATTGGGCATGGGGGGGGGGGGGGCAGAGAGACAGAAGGAGAAGGGGGCAGAGACAGATGAAGAGAGAATCAGAATAAACTATGACTAATACCTACCAGCCTGGCCCTTGTTCCTTCCTCCACCTGACCATCGCCATCGACCTCTCCGGGGTGGGAGAAGGGTGAGACTACCGAACGCGGGTGGCGGGAGAGATAGAGCCACCGCCGCTGTGTGAGTGCCGTGCCCCCTATTTGTGTGAGTTTACACAATAATGGACTTTTGGGGGGATTGTTCTGATATATATATATATATATATATATATATATATATATATATATATATTTGCTCGAGCAGGCCCAGTAACGTCTCCATTGGAGACTTTGTTGTTACTGTGTCTGGCATATCGAATACTCTCGGTAGCTTGCCGGGCTCTCCGAGAGGGGCAGAGGAATTGAACTCGGGTCGGCCATGTTGGCTGCGTGCAAGGCAGACGCCCTACCCGCTATGCTATATATATATATATATAAAATCAGTCAGGAAATTTTGTTAAATGTTCTTTTTCTCCATTTTATAAACTACCTCAAAATCATGTTCAGCAAGGCTTCTTGTGCTTTTTTCTATTTGCAATCCCTCTAAGAATAAAAAATTCTTATGCAACCCCAAGTATTAAGGATATAAAATAACTATGCAAAATTAAGCACTTACTGATAACAAATCATAAAAAAATTATAACATTTTAAGCTTTTTCTCAATCCTCCCATTAGTTACTATTTAGGAAGCTAAATGCCCAAGAACAGATGACTGGTTAAAGAAACTTTGGTACATCTACACAATGGAGTACTATGTAGCTCTTAGAAAAGATGAAGTCATGAAATTTACATACAAAAAGTGGTACAACATGGAAAAAGTATCATGCTAAGCGAAATGAGTCAGAAAGAGAGGGATAGACATAGAAGGATTGCATTCATCTAGGGGATATAAAGTAACAAAATATGAGATTAATACCCAAGAAGAGCTGAGATCAGCACCAGGAGGATTACTCCATAGCTTAGAGGCCAACCGGGCATTCTAGGGGAAAGGGCAGCTCAGATAGAGGAGGGAGCACCAAATAAAGGGTGTTTGGAGGATCCTCCCAGAAGGGGAGATGCCTGGCGAAAGTAGACTATGGACTGAACATGTTTGCCACTCAATGCCTCTTTTGCAGACCACAACACCCAAAAGGAGAGAGACAACACAAGGGATTGCCCTGCCACAGAGGCAGGGGGGGATGGGGGGGATGGGGGTGGGAGGGATATTATCCATAGTGGTTGAAAATGGGCACTGGTGGAGGGATGGGTATTTGATCATTGTATAATCGAAACCCAAGCACAAAAAATTGTAAATCTACAACTGTACCTCATGGTGTTTCACTAATAAAAAAAAAAGGAAAAAAAAATTAAAAAAATAAATTAAAAAAAAAAGAACACTCAAGTGTATCCTAAAAGACTCAGTATGTCCTTAAAGGAGAAGCAAAAAAAAAAAAAAGGCAACTCTGGTCTCATATTCATTTGTGAAGTTCATCTGCAGGTTTAAAAATCCCCAGAGACACAGTTAGTACTGCTTAAGCACTTAATCACTTAACTTCCCGTTAATCGTCGATTTGCTCCAGCGGGCACCAGTAACGTCTCCATTTGTCCCTGTCACGTGCCAGTGTAGCCCAATGGCATCTGTTCGCTCCAGGAACATGAAGGGCCTCAAACGGATCGTTCATGATCTTGACGAAGAAGTCTGACCATCTGGTAGGTGGGCGGCCACACGGTCTTTTGACATCCCGTGGAATCCAGTCGGTAACAGCTCTAGTCCAGCGGTCGTCTTTAAATCTCATTACGTGACCAGCCCATCTGATTTTCGACACCTTGGCAAATGAGACAGCGTCCCTGATTCTTGATCATCAACGGATGTCAGAACTCCAGATTTTTTCTCTCATTTGAGTGAAACGTGATATTCCAAGCATAGCTCTTTCTATTCTTCTTTGGGAGACCTGAATAGCGTTCTCATCTTGTTTGCATAGGGCCCAGGTCTCTGAGGCATATGTTAATGCAGGAAGAACAGTGGAATCAAAGAGCTGTGTCCGGAGCCGGAGGTTCTTCGTCCTCTTAGCTATTTCCTCGACGTTCTTGAAGGCGTTCCAAGCCGCTCTCTTCCTCCTGTGCAGCTCGGGTGCCAGGTCATTTGTCATATTGACCTCTCGACCTAGGTACACATAGCTGTTGCATTCAGAGATGGTCATTCCATTGAGAGCGAATGGGGCGTCAGGAACGAGGCTGTTTCTCATAAACATTGTCTTCGTAAGATTCAGCTGTAGTCCTACCTTTCCACACTCACGGTCAAAGTCGGCCAGCATTTGTGCCGCTTGGCTGATGTTTGGTGTTATTAAAACAATGTCATCAGCAAAGCGGAGGTGGTGTAGTTGCCGACCATCTATCTTCACTCCCATTCCTTCCCATTCCAGTCGTCGCATGATGTTCTCGAGGGTGGCACTGAAGAGTTTCGGTGAAATGGTATCACCCTGCCGCACCCCTCTCTTGACATCAACGATCACTTCTTTGTAGAATGGTGAGATCCTGGTAGTGAATCTGCAATACAGCTCACGGAGGATCTTGATGTATTGGGCTTGAATGCCCTGATTGGCTAGGGCTTCAATGACCGCTTCCGTCTCAACAGAATCAAAGGCCTTCTTTAAATCAATGAACGTTAAACAGAGCGGCATCTTGAACTCCCGAAAAACCTCAATGAGCTTGGTTATCGTGTGGATATGGTCGATGGTGCTGAATCCTTTGCGGGACCTGGCTTGCTCGCATGGTTGTCCTTCATCTAGTGTTCTGCCAATCCTATTTAGAATGACTCGAGTGAACAACTTTTAGATGACAGACAATAGGCAGATCGGGCGATAGTTGCCAATGTCATGGATGTCTCCCTTCTTGAACAGTAGTATGGTCCTGCTGGTTTTCCATTGGGACGGAACCTTGCAGTCAGACAGGTAGCGAGTGAAGAGCGGAGCCAGTGTATTGATGAGTACTGATGGCAGGTTCTTCAGGTGTTCAGGTCTGACCTTGTCTGGGCCGGGTGCTGTTTGTTTCTTTACCAACAAAATGGTGTGTCGGATTTCGGAAGGGAGAACGTTGGGAACGACATATCCAGCCTGTGGAATTTGGTATGTCAGCAAGTGGACATGGCTATCGAAGAGATTTGAGTAGAAGTCATGGATAATCTTCTCCATTGCCGTTCTGGAGGATGTGATGGATCCATCAGGACGTCGGAGGGCAATCATCTTGGTCTTGTAGTTGGCGAAGGACAGGCGGGCGTTACGAATACTTTTCCCGGCTTCTGCCGCATCTACCAGTACTTCTGCTCTTCTCTCTTTGAGGTCTTCCTTGATCGCATGTCTGCACTGCTTTGCGAGCTCGGACGTTAGCTTGCGGTTGCCTGAGGCATACGCCAAACCACGCTGGCGAATTAGCTCAAGAGTTTTCGAAGATAGGCGATTTTTTTGTGGCTATCTCTCTCTTGGCGTTCCTCGCACATTCATGGAGGTGCTGAACCAGTTGATCGTATTCCTCGTCAATGTTGTCAACAATGGCATCTTCCCATGTTGCCGCAATAGTACCAAAGAGTTCCCAGTTGGTGGTCATTCTGGGAGTTCTCTTTTTGAACTTTGCAGCCCTTTCTCCCCGCTTTGTGAAGTAGAATTTTGAACGAAGGAGACGGTGGTCTGATCCCGTTCGAAATTTTGGGACAACAGCGACATCAGTCAGGCAAAACCGTTGATTGAATATTATGTGGTCTATTTCGTTGTGGAATCGTCCACCGGGAGACTCCCATGTCCATCGTTTAGATTCTGCCTTCTAGAACTGTGAGTTACCATGAATGGTCTTGGTCGACATGATGAACTCAGACAGTCTCTCACCCTGTTCGTTCCATTCTAGGCCATGGGTCCCGATGTGAAGTTCTTCAGCTGATCTTCTAGGTCCTATCTTGGCATTAAAATCACCCACAATGATCTTGTAGAAGGTGTGGTCTTCTTTATAGAACTTCTCTAGCTCCATGTAGAACTTCTCGATTTCTCTTTCATCATAATGAGATGTTGGTGTGTAGACAATGAAGATAGAAACTGCAGGCAGTGAGCCACATCTATTCAAATGTAAACGTCCGATTCGGGTTGTTAGGCATTCGAATGAATCAATGCTCTTAGCCAAGTTTGTGTTGACAAGGACACCGACGCCTCCAACACCTCTTTTATCGCATGTTCCGAGGAACAATTCTTCTCCAGTGTCGAAAACGGCATGGTGAGATTCATGCCTTCTTGTCTCGGTCAGACCAATGATGTCATACTTGATCATTCGCGCTTGTACCATCAGGTCCTCGATGGATGCATCTGATGCTAGCGTACGTGCATTGAAAGTACAGACGATCATTTTTGTCTTCCTTCATTGTGGCAGCTTAGGTCGGCCTTGAGATTTTGTCGGCCTCTCCTTTCTCATCCTTCTCAGTGCTGCCTTGTCGGTGAAGCCTTCAGGGTCAGGTGAATGAGACCAGTTGTAGTTACTGGTTTTGGCATATCGAATACACAACGGATAGCTTGCCAGGCTCTTCCGTGCGGGTGGAATACTCTCGGTAGCTTGCCAGTCTTTCCGAGAGGGATAGAGGCTTTTGGGGCGACCTCTAATCACCCTTGTAGGTGTTACCACATTAGTACTGCATCACAGAAAAACTGGTTCTACTGAAACAAAACCCATCCTTACCACCACAGCTGTATGGGTATGGGACTTTCCTGTGCCACAAAAATGAATGCACTATCAACTATCATGTCAGTCAGAATTTGCAGGAATATCAGATCTGCAATGTTTCCTACCATATATGCTCAAAAGTAATTTTCCCTTTCACCCCAGAACTGGTAAGATTTGTTCTGCAGAGGAAGTTAGAGAAAGATTTGAGAAAATAATAAGAACATACGAAGGAAATACAGATTACTGTTCATAGAGTCAAACACAGATTACTGTTCCTAAAGCAATTTTAAAATGATTGATTTTGTGCCTCGGTGTGCATTTGCTATAAACCCACCGTGTACCTAAAACATTAATTCTAGTTCCATATTTTTTCTCACCAGCCTTTCCATGGTCAGAAAGAAACCTTTCCCTTTTCATAAGGCCTTAGCAACTTCAGTTCATTAGGGCATACAGATAAACTCTTGAGGCAACAAACCAATTACTAGTCTTAGCATCTATTTCTAGCCATAAAACACAGATCTACGGAAATCTGTGTTTATTACCAAAGTCAATGCACCCATTTTAGAGAGAAGACTAAGGGGGATGAAGTGATACTACAGTGGGTAGGGGGTTTGCCTTGCAGGTGCCGACCCAGGTTAGATCCCCAGCATCCCATACGGTCCCTCAAGCACAGCCAGGAGTAATTCCTGAGTGCAGAGCCAGGAGTAATCCCTGAGCATCTCTGGGTGTGACCCAAAAAGCAAAAATAAATTAACTTTAAAAAAACAAACTTGAGACTGGAGAGATAGCACAGCAGGTAACTCGTTTGCCTTGCACGCGGCCGACCCGGGTTCGATTCCCAGCATCCCATATGGTCCCCTGAGCACCGCCAGGAGTAACCCCTGTGCATCGTCGGGTGTGACCCAAAAAGAAAAAAAAAAACTTTAAAAAAAAAAGAGAGAAGACTGAAACTCTAAACAGCAAAGTAATTTGCCTCAAATCTCAGTAAAAAGAACTAAAGTTTTTCATTTCTTTGTAAAATTATTTTAAATTAATCCTATTATGTTCCAAAAAAAATCACTCACTAAACTGGATATTTACCCAATAAAGCTATCATCTGAAACCTAGGTTTCAGCGAATGATTTTCACATGCTTGAATATAGCTGCATCTATAAAATAATCCCATGTTTTCCAAAATGGGTTCTAATAACAGGTATGGCCATCTTCAATATATCAACTTTTAGGGATATCGATGAAATAGTCAAATGGAAATGTCTAATCCTTAATTTACTCTTCCAATAAATTTTAAATAAAGCATGTTAGAGACTATGTATTTTTTGGTTTGGAAGTTCCTTCTGACTCTGAGCTTGGGGGAACACATAAAGCGAGGGATGGACCAGGGTCAGCCATCTACAAGGCAAGTGTAATGGTACCCTATACTATCTTTCTGGCTCTCTTTCACTTTTTATTTTTATAGGCGTCATACTCAGGGGGTCAGTGACACTCCTGGCAGAGCTCAGCCTAAACCTCACACCCAGCATCTAGACCAACAGTGCTGGCAGTCAACCAGCCTCACTCCCAGTGGTACTCAGAGAGTGACCAAGGCTACCTGGACAGCGTTGGGATGAGGACAGATGTGTGGTGCCACCCAGGACTGAAGTTGGACCTTTTACATGCTAGGAACATACTCTACCAGTTGGGCCACTTATATTGCTTTTAAAGGTGATAAAAAGATTATTTTTCAACAATATGTCCTTGTATACCATGTCTGTGAAAAATTAAATGTGGAATGAGAGTGATAGTACAGTGGGTAGAGCATTTGCCTTGTACACAACCAACCCTGGATTTGATCCTTGGCATCCATATAGTCTCCTGAGCATCACCAGGAGTAATTCCTGCATGCAAAACCAGGGGTTGGAGCGATAGCACAGAGGTAGGGCATTTGCCTTGTGCGCTCGATTCCTCTGCCCCTCTCAGAGGGCCTGGCAAACTACCAAGAGTATCTCGTCCACATGGCAGTGCCTGGCAAGCTACCCATGACGTATTCGATATGCCAAACACAGTAACAACAGAGTCTCCAATGGAGACGTTACTGGGCCTGCTTGTGCAAATCGATGAACAACGGGAGGACAGCACTACAGTGCTATAGTGCAAAACCAGGAGTAAGCCCTGAGCACTGCTGGGTGTGGCCCCCAAACAAACAAACAAAAAGAAAGGAAAAAAGAAAAATAAGAAAAAAGTCAAATTCTACAGCACCAACGTTAGGCTTTGTTTGAAATTTTGATACCCGTTTCTCATCTAGCCAGCCTATTTCACAACCAGTATGACTTAGGATAAGAATTATTTATCTCCGAAGGGTAGTTAAGATAGAGGAGGATCCATTATGACAATACTAGTTGGAAATGATCGTTCTGGACAAGAACTGAGTATTCAAAGCAGGAATATACATGATAACCTTTTAGCATCGATATCACAAACCAGAATGCCTAAAATGAGAGAGAGAGAGAGAGAGAGAGAGAGAGAGAGAGAGAGAGAGAGAGAGACCTGCCTGACATAGAGGCAGGCTGGAGTAGGGGGGTGGTTTGAAGGGGTGGGAGGAAAACTGGGGACACTGGTGCTGGATGGGTGTTAGAACATTGTATGACTGAAACGCAATCATGAACAATTTTGTAATGCTCCATCTCAGGGTTATTCCATAAAAAAATTAAAAATAAAAGAATAAAAAAATAAAATTATTTATCTCCAATAATAGTAAGCTGTTCCTAAAACAGGAACCTAGAGCAATGACCTTTATAATGATTCCTAAACAAGAGGACTCGCTTTACAAAGGGTAACTCTGGGGATGAAAGTTCCATTTGAAGCTGAGGCATCTGCACTCTCTTCAAGCAGAGATACTTGCCGTCCAGAAAAGGACCAAATTAGCAGCTCTGCAGAGAGCAACCGGCCTTGTTATCAACATCACAACCAGAAAGCTACCCAAAAACTCGGCAAAGGGGTTGACTGACTACTTTCACAAGGAGTAACTAATAAACATACCTAAGTCCACGAGAATAGCATGTTGCTGGGCTGTGAGCTGCTTTAAAAGTTCTTTATAGGACGTCTCCGGAGGTTGCTGTTTCGTGGGTAATCTGTGCCTCAGACGATACTGTAATGCTAGGAACTGCCATATTTCTCCTCGGCGACTTTTGGGAACTCCTATAATCAAAGAGGTCAATAAGTAAGGTCTGGGAAAGGTGTTTGATCATTGTATGACTGAGACATAAACCTGAAAGCTTAGTAACTTTTCCCACAGTGATTCAATAAATAAATATAAAAATAAAAAAATAAAAAAAATTAAGGTGGAGTTCATGCCCAATTTAATCAGCTAATCAGTGGCTGAAAAAATAGTAGTACTCCTACAAAAAATAAAAAATAAGTAAGGTCTAGACTGCTTGTTAGGCTAGAGTTGCTAAGAAATAGTTAATTAACTATGGTATGCTTGAAAGGAGACAGCAATAACATCTACTGTCCAGAACCCTAAAAGGTAAAGGCCCTCCCGTTGATCGTCGATTTGCTCGAGCGGGCCCAGTAACGTCTCCATTGGAGACTTTGTTGTTACTGTGTCTGGCATATCGAATACTCTCGGTAGCTTGCCGGGCTCTCCGAGAGGGGCGGAGGAATCGAACTCGGGTCAGCCATGTTGGCCGCGTGTAAGGCGAACGCCCTACCCGCTGTGCTATCGCTCCAGCCAGAACCCTAGGATGACACATTGAATCCTGACGCTACTAATGTCCTAAAAAGAAACCCCTCCAATAAATCAATGATGACAATGGCACTAACCTTAGTCAATATGATGGAGCACCTAAGAGGACATTTATGGTGGGTGCCTCCCTACTGAGCAATGAACACAAACTGCTCAGAAAAATAACCCAGTAAGAGAGTTGGCTGCTATTATCTCCACTTTACAGCTGGGGAAGTTGAGGCTGAAAGAGTGTAAGTAACTTGTCCAAGTCTGTTAGCTACAAAATGGCAATTTAGAGTTAGAACTTTGGGAGATTGATTTCAGAAACTACTAGAAGCCTGAAATGTACTAGTGCTGATTTTTACCTTTTACTTGGTTTGTGGCTAGTAACAAATGCTGATCAATATTTATGATCAGCAAGTATAAGAGTATTTTGTAAAAGAGTATTCTGGAACCAAACACTGTAAAATAGTATTCCTGAAAGAAAATGAAAGACTTAAATACTATAAAAGGCATCGCTATTAAACACCACTCAGCTTTGAGGAAAAAAAAAACAACAACATAGTTTATATAATGAAACACTACCTCTGTTGGGCATGAAAATCAAAGGATCATGAGCATTTTAAAGTTAGCCACAACTACTTCTTTTTCTTTCTTTCTTGTTTGTTTATTTGTTTTTTGGGTCACACCCAGCAATGACCAGGGGTTACTTCTGGCTCTGCACTCAGGAATTACTCCTGGCAGTGCTGGGGGGCCATATGGGATGCCAGGGGATTAAATCTTCATTGGCAGTATGCAAGGCAAACGCCCTACCCACTGCATTATCGCTCCGGCCCCTAAAACTACTTTTTTGTACGTGAACGTATATGACATCAGCAGTGGAGAGCAAGAACTCAGAGCACAGAATTTCATTCACTCTTTTCAGTACAGTCAAACTGGATCAGGAATAGCTTCATGAGCTCCAGCAAGCTAAAGGACGGTTTAATGGTATTCCGTCATTTTGGAATATGACTCAGTTTGCCTGAACTGAAAGTACTGACCCAACACTGTAATTCACTGTGGCTCACTGACATACATTGTAATCACATCACAATTCCAAACCACCTTTTTATTAAATTCATTGCCTCTGATTCCCTGCCAAATGCTAGCTCATGGGTATTTTCCCCTTTGCTTTAAAGATTCCCAAGGATTGCCCCTTGATTGTCTAAAGCATTTCTATTTCTCCTTTCTAAACAAACTTCGACTCAACAACTCCCAAGTGTCTCTAGGAGCAATTGATCCCTTTTCACATACTCAAATGGTGACTCTGTCATACTGGGTCATAGGTAGCTGCATACTATATTTGCTTTGTTCCCCCAGAGATGACAAATCCTTAAGAAGAGCAACCAAGGCGGGGCCAGAGTGATAGTACAGTGAGTAGGGCGTTTGCCTTGCACAAGGCCGACCTGGGTTCAATTGCCGGCATCCCATATGGTCTCTCAAGCACCACCAGGAGTAATTCCTGAATGCAGGGCCAGGAGTAATCCCTGAGCATTACTGGGTGTGACCCGAAAATTAAAAAAAAAAAAAAAAAAAGAAGAAGAAGAGCAACCACGGAGTCACTGTGCTTCTCACACAAAGTTGAATCAGCAAATGCATAGTTAGAACGCAATGCATTAATCCAGGGTGAGTTTACAGAAAGCTAATTCAAGCGAATTCACTTCAGTTAAATGAGCGCCCAATATGTAGCAGGGTATGGAGCATAACCCTGAAGATACCTTGTCCCTGAGAGAGAAATAAATTCATTCTCAGGAAACTGAGTGTGATTCACTCCTACATTCATCTACTCATTCACCCAATCAATGAGTAACTTGTACAGAATGCTCTGTGAAGTGTTAGGTCTGCTATGGTGGAACAAGGAAAATATGAAATAGACACATACAAATTATGGTAGCACTGTAGCACTGTCTTCCCGTTGTTCATCGATTTGCTCGAGCAGGCACCAGTAACGTCTCCGTTGTGAGACTTGTTGTTACTGTTTTAGGCATATCATATATGTCACGGGTAGCTTGCCAGGCTTTGCCATACAGGCGAGATACTCTCGGTAGCATGTTGGGCTCTCCGAGAGGGACAGAGGAATCGAACCCACGTCGACCACGTACAAGGCAAACACCCTACCCACTATGTTATCGCTCTGGCCCACAAATTATGGTAAAAACTATTAAACAATCATGAGGCAAAACCAGTGAATTCTGCTTAGCATTTGGAAATGCTATCAAAACTGAGAGTTGATGGGAAGCCAGTGCTGTTTCGTTGCAAAGACACACAGGTGAAAATTCTGAGGAGGATATAGGAAATGGGGAAGAAGGACAAAGTGAGAAGAGGAAATGGAAGGATGGAAGGAAAGGGAGATGATAAGCAGGGAGAAGGTAAAGAGATAAAAAAGGGAATCTAGAAAGGGCTTGAGCATATTTCATAGGACAAACTGAAAGCCAGAATAGTTTTGTCTCCTTGTGAACAGGTTATATAAAGGAAGAAGAGGCAAAAATTAGTGAGGACCAGAGCAATGGTATAGTGGATAAGGAGCTTGCCCTGCATGCTGCTGACCCCAGTTCAAATGCTGGGCACCACATATGTTCCCAAATCACTGCCAGGGGTGATCCTTGAGTGCAAAACCAAGATAACCTACCCCTGAGCATCACTGTATGGGGCAGTGCCACTGGTCCCCTCAAAACAACAGAGGAAGGGAGGGAGAGAGGGAAAAGAGGGAGGGACCTTTCTCCCTTATTGTTTTATTATTGAATACATAAAAGTTTACACTGTATCCTTTAAGAAATGACAAGGTGCATGCCCTCTCCTAAAATTTAAACCCAGGAATTGAGCCAGCAACTCCTCACACACTTTCTATTAACTACTACTTTGTCTCCCAAATAAGCACGCAACAAAAATCTGTAACATTTCATATTTTCCAAGGAAAATGAGCAACTTATGACTCCTGTAAAACAATTAAGTTAATTTAAACTGTGTAACAGTTTCATACTTTATCATAAGCTTTTAACATAAGAATCATTATCAGGTTACTTTGGATGTTCCAGTAATTACTGTATCTATTATTACTGGGGCCACCCTTGGTGATGCTCAGCCTGGAGACCTAAGTCCAACTGTTCAGTGCCCATCTGATGACATAGTCCTGCTCATGCCTGGCATTGCTGGGCTACCAAGGCCACTCTCAGTGCTCAGAAGACATGCAGCACCAGGGATCAAACATGGGTCCTTGAGCATGCTGAGTGCTGAGCAGATGTGTCTAATGTCTGCATTAACTCCCCAACCCCTGAGACTTCTTCATACCCAGCTTACACATACCAGAAAAATTCTCCATATATTTAAAATGGTCACAGAGGGACTGGAGCAATAGCACAGCGAGTAGGGTATTTGCCTTGCACACGGCCAACCCGGGTTCAATTCCCAGCATCCCATATGGTTCCCCAAGCACCGCCAGGTGTAATTCCTGAGTGCATGAACCAGGAATAACCCCTGTGCATCACCGGGTATGGCCCAGAAAGAAAATAAATAAATAAATAATAATAATAATAATAAATAAATAAATAAAATGGTCACAGAAATTACACCTAAAATTAAGTTTCATTTAATGTTTAACATGTCATATCAGCCATCTTATAGAGCTGAGCTTAGCAAGGTGAGAGCCTTGGGTTTAATCCCCAGTAGCTCCTGGTCTCCCAAGCGGCAGCAATAATTCTGACCACGGAGCCAAGGGTAGCACCTGGGCACTACCAGGCATGGCCCCCAGACCAAAAGAAAGAAAAGAAAAAGAAAAGAAACTCTTCCAAGATAAAGATTAATTTCCAATTAATAGAAGGAAAACTAGTAATTTGATTAAAATATGTTGATAACTTCATACATACAGTTGAATACAAGAGACATATAAATACACATATACACATCTAAATCATTTCTGAAAAAATAATCAAAATATATCAAAGGTGGGTCAGTACAGGGGTTTCATCCAGCCACCCCAGTTTGTTCCCTAGCACCAGTACAGGGGTTTCATCCAGCCACCCCAGTTTGTTCCCTAGCACCAAATAGAGTCCCTAAGCACCACCCGGAATGATACTTGAGCTCAGAGCCAGGAGGAAGCCCTGAGCACAGCGGGGTGTAGCCCAAAAATCAAAAAATGAAACAGAAAAAGAGGAAGAAATTACATCATTTCTGTAAATCTGAATTATTTTTAATGGACATGATCAAAGATTAGTTCCAATGTATATGTTCTTCCTAGGGTAAGCACAGAGCTAATAAGAACTGGTCACAATAGAAAGGTAGATCTGTAGAAAAGATACCTAGATTCCCATTATTAGTTACTACGTAGAAGCAGAAACAAATGAATTCCCTTTTTAACAAACAAGCACAAATACTGCAGATATGCATGAACAAGATAACTAAAATGGTCTCTGAAGTCTTTCAAAAGAGATTACTGAAAGAGTCTAGCATACCTTCTTTAAGACAAGTATGAATATCTTCCATGTCACATCTGATTTTAGCTCTATAGTTTAACAATTTCTTATCCCAGGTTATTAAGACCTCCTTCTGACATACTCCAACTTCTTCATAGTCCAATTTAATTTTTCTAGTATGCAATTCATCTCTGCTTGCTAAGGAATAAAAAGAGAATTAACATATGATCAACATCTTTTTAAAACAATATTTATAACGCATATTTGTAAGATTTCTATTCCTAATGACTTTCAAGAAATCCACGAATAAAAATTTTCTCCAAAACAAATAATTTGAGGCTATTTGAAAAGTTCTCATATTTCAAATCACTTAAGGTAAGAAATATCAGAAAAAGACGTTAAGGAGATTTTTATCTGTACGCCTTGTAGATGGCAACTCTGTTAGGCATAGAACCCAAACAGTGTTTACTATACCATACATTTCAATATTCTAGCAAATGTAACAGAAGCTATTGCGTTTATTGTTTCAACACCATTAAAATTAATATTTTATTTCTGACATACATGAGAAGATAAATGTCTCATGCTAGTCTTGATTCAAGAAATGCTTGACCGTGATAACCTAACACATTTTTGGTGTTTACAGATTTCATCACTAGTCTTAATAACACTAGGTTCCACATTACTGTTCATTTTAATAAAAAGAGGAAAACTCATTTTACTAATGTTAACATAATCCTAATTTTAAAATGTAGTATGAAATTATCATTCAATGGTCCAAGGCCTAGAATTCATCAAAAGGAAATGCCTACGAAAGCAACCATTATTAGAACTGGATTTTACCTTGAATAACTTATTCTAAGGGCAGCACGAAGAAAAACATACAAGTATATTTTTCTTTTTCTTTAGAACAGCTCTGAACATGACTGTGTCCAATAAACTGTTTTCATTCCAGACCAAGGAGCAGCAGCTACCTTACCTTCTGCAACACAAATCTTTGTAATGCATCCAAAGTCCTCGACAGCACAAAGACAATAGCAGAATGAGTATTACTCTCTACTTAGTGTGCCTGAAACCATTTCAAAAGACTTAAAATAGCTTGTACAGCAATTTAAGCAGGGCAATAAACATTTTGATTTAAAAGTCCAGACATGTTGAAAAGTTAAATTGCACTACAAAAATATTCCTTCTGAATACCACTAGATGGCTTTCTAACACAGCTTAAATTTGCTTAGCAATATTTGTTATTTGTTTTATTTTCTCTATGGGAATCAAATACTTTTTTTTTTACAAGAAATGGGTTTATTAAACCTAAGAATAAAAACAATCCCGCATGAAACTCTGATAATAATTTTTTTTGCAATGGCATATAAAAACATGAACTTTTATCAGGTTCTTTTTCTTCTATCTTCTCCAAAGCATTAATTATAAAATAAAGGGTCCTGAGGTTAAAATATTTAGTAAGAGCTCTTAAAGTCTGCTCTCACTCAGACAGTTCGGTAGCAAGTGTAAAGAGGCATCAAGAAATGCCCATTAGCTGGAGAGAATAACGCAGTTGGTAGAGCACTTGCCTTACCAAGGTCTAGGCCCAGGAACACATATGGTCCCCAGAGATCCAGAGTCCTGCTAAGGAGTGATCCCTGAGAGCAGAACCAGGAATAACCCCTGAGCACTGGTGGGAGCGAGCCCCTCTACCCCCATTACGCTAGTTTTATGTCATTTTTACTTTAATACAGAAATAGAGTGCTAAGAAACATTTCTGGTCAACTATTCTACATGTTATTTCTATTATTATTCTGTCAATTTACATATAATTATAACTGAACTCAGAGTACACTGATAATCCTTTGTATTAAAACATATTTATTTTCTTTTATTAAAACACAGAATGGAAAAATACTGTGATACAAAGGAAAAAGTTCAAGAATCATGGCGTGTAAATGGGAGTTTTCTACCACTTCACCACTGTTTGACCTTTGGCTAATACCTTGCATCCAAAATCACTAACTAAAACGCAGAAAGAAGAATCATGCTAGGCAATTTTTTAGAAAACTTTTTGATTTGGGGACCACACCCGACAATGCTCAGGGTTTTCTCCCAGCTCTGCACTCAGAAATTACCCCTGGTGGTATCTGGGGAACCATGAGATGCCAGGGATCAAACTCTGGTTGGCCAAATGCAAGCAAGGCAAGTGCCCTACTCACTGTACTATCGCTCCAGCCCAATGCTAAGGTCATTTCCAGTTCAAGTAGTCTACGATTCTAAAGCTATTCTTTGATATTTAACATAAAATTCTACTTGATATTTTTAATTCTATTTTTATGACATTTAACATAAAATCATATTTCAGTTGTTAATGGAATTATAATCTCATGCTTTAACTGTTTTAAAGAAATGATAACCAACACATTTTCAATTTCTCTATTTATGCATCAGTTCAAGATATAAATAACTGCTTAAAAAATAAAAATTCGTGGGAGCCGGCAAAATAATATAGCTAGTAGGGCACCTGCCTTGCACATAGTTGACCCAGGTTTGATTCATGGCATCCCAAATGATCCCCCAAGTACCTCCAGGAGTAATTCCTAAGTGCAGAGCCAGACATTACCCCAAGTATCAACAAATGTGACCCCAAAACAATAAATACAAAAATATGAATTCAATTCCTTTGCAAGTCTATGAAAGGACAAGTGGGTATATAATATATATCACCCAACATCTATTTTATTTTGGCTTGGGGAAGCAAAACCAACAGTGCTCAAGGATCGCTCCAGGCTCTGTGCTAAAGGATCTCACCAGACCCAATCACTCAATGGTTAAAAGCAATGCATAAAGCATTTATAATTATAAAGAAAAAAAATATTTTCTACCAATATTTGAAATCTTAGTAGTTTTCATTCTGCTAAAATAAATGAACAAATAATTATATCTGTGAACTATGCACGCTGTTCAATTTTAAATATTGAATCTTAAATATTAAAAATAGAAGAGGAATCTTAAGGTAGAGCTTGATGAATACAGAAATGTAAATACTGTATTTAAAAGGCTATTTAGAAGACAGAATAGTCAAAGCAAGTCAGACAAAAGCCTTGATTGCTCATTTTCTAAAAATCTTAAAAGTCAAAGGGCCCATTCAGGGTAAATCATTTATTTTATAAATGTGAAAAACAAGTTATTTTTAAGTTAAAAAAGTGGGTCAATATAATGGCATTAATACCTTTTTTTTTTTGGATTTCAGTACTATCTGCAAATCTTGTGAGTGATCCTACCATTACTGGGATAAGTAACAGTCATTCAAAGCTTTAAAAACAAATTGTAAAACATCAGGTATTCATAAACTTAGTACAATAAGTTTATGTGCAAAATAAAATACTAAAAATAGCACAGCAACTATTATGAATTATTCAATTAAGAATTTAGTGATTTTAATAGGATTATTCACATAGAAAACGTATAAAGTAATAACAAAAAAACAGAAACAGTGATTTGGTAATAAGCCCATAATTACTCATAATAGTCACACTCCATATATTTGTAAATAAACCATACAGCCCAATTTATTTGATATAGGTCTATTTCTCTTATAGGAGTAGAGTTAGCCTATGGACTTAAAGTCACATTTAAAAAAGGAGAGAATTTTACTATTACAGTTTAAAAGAAAAATCCATAATATTAAACTTTCAGTTATATTTTAAATAAACACTCACCCTATATTAACTTAATGTCTTATTATCCAAATACACTCAGTGGGTGCCTGCTGCTTTAAACATATGAAAGAAAAATGCAAATATCTTTCATTGACCTTTTCTGTGTGAGAGCAACAACGAACTAACAACCGAAAGTTGTATTAAGTAGACAATCTAGTAAAAGTGTGTCTACAACCTGAGATGGAGAGCGGGAGCCGGGGATGGGGTGTGGGGCTACGGTGTCCATCTGCACCCTAAAGAATAGCATTGTAGCATCAGATCATGTAGCCCTGTTTGAATGGCTAACCTTCAAGTTTCTGGTTTTCTTTTTCCATTCGAAGTAGTAAAATCTGTTGGTGTATAGCTTTTCTCCACAAACTCCTTAGCTCTTCTGATTTTTTCCTGGCTTCTACCTTTTCTGGGTCCTCTTCACCAGATACGAAAATAACCCGGGGTTCCTCTTCCATGGTTGGAGCAAGAGGAGACAGTGGCAGCAGCTCGTTCCTGTCCAGGCCATCTGCAAAGAAGAAAACAGTGAGAGGCATTCCTCAGCAGTAACCCAGACTACAGAAACGTTCTCTAGCTCTGACACTCCCTCCTCCTGTATTCCACCTTTAAAAGCTTTTCACAAAGCCACTTGCCCAGTAAGTTTGTTTCTGGAACTAATGATTAAAGCAAATTCACTCCACTGAATTCCCCTGCCAGAGTTCCCTCTCAAAGTGAAACAAACGCTTTGTGTCATTTCACCACTTCTTCTTTTCTCTTTGCACAGAAAGACCTGTGAGCTAGGTGCTCCAAAATGAAGTGGTCTTTCCCCAGAGCCCAACACTTCTGCAATTTATCCTGCGTAAGTAGCAGGAATCTCCTCAAATCTACCGCCACCATCAGACCCAGTAGTGATGGACGTATTTTAGTGAGGTAATTCACCCTTCTTTCAACACTCCTACCAATTCCTGGAGCATATTCTCTCCCTCCATTCCATCTTTCGCACTATTGCCAATTATTTTATTAATAAACATGCTGTTTCTTAAAATACTTGAATAGTCACTTACATCTCAAAGAGCTAAGGATGAACTAGTAGGTTCATGAAGATTCTCAGCCTCTTGCCACCACCTCCCATCTTTCAAGGCTGGGGTCCTTTCTGCTCATTCTCTGACCTGGAATGTTCTCTAAGAAGACCCAATTATGCTGTAATTCTCTCTTTGTGAAATACATTTCTCCCATAAAGGGGTTTAAATAAATTCTTATAAAGCTTTCTCAAACCAGCTAGAATTGGTTTTACTTTTAATAATGTTTGTTTTTTTATTTACATATAGATGTCCACCCTCTGGCTATTTGTTCCTTAATAAATAAGTAATTTTTTTTAATTATTCAGTGCACAGAGCTTACTCCTGGATGTAGGGGAAAATATGGGTTGTTGGGGGTCCAATCCAGGTCAGAGAAATGCAAAGCAAGTGCTCTGCTCACTTGACTATCACTCTGGCCCCAGTAAATAATATTTAAAAAAATATTGTATAGTTCTTTTACAGTTTTTTGGGTTGAAGTCTTAGTTAATTTTGTTGAGACCTTCTTGGTTTTTAGAACTGCCCTTTAAACACCACTGAATTTTGATATGTGGTCCCAATCATAGTTTCTTCCTTCTAGTTTCTGATACTTTCTTCCTTATAGCTTTCAGTTTCTAAACATGTGACATTTTTGTCATCCTTTACAGTACCTAGTACTGAAGCAAGCACAGAAGTTTTATCATTTTTTAATACAACCTTCTTTCTGCCTCCTGTCATTGCTACCCCAACACTTTTTACCCCTATTTCTGTCCCATGCCACCTTCTCACTGTGATCAGGAAATATAACATAATATCATACTAACACGGAAATTATTCAAAAAAATCTTTGCAGCCAAGTACATGATTTTTGTAACTGTTTCATGTATATTGAAAATAAGGAAGTTTCCTCAACAGGGGCCCCAAATTCTGTATAAATACTAGAGATTGCTTAAGATGTTTTTCTCAAATATTCTCTATTTTTTAATTTTTCTATATTTAAATTTCACAGTGGTATTTGTCAAAATCCCCCATCAAAGCTATTAATTTATTGTATTTCCAAATTCTACTCCCACTGTTAGCTCTAAGGCTGTGCAATTATGTGCTTTGTGCAGTTATGCACCCCCTGAGGTGCTCAGAACTTACTCATAACTCTGTGCTCAGAGAGGACACCTGTCGGAGTTGGGGAAGCTATACATAGTGCTGGGAATTAAACCCACGTCAGCATCTTGCAGGTAAGTGCCCTAATTGGCCCTGGGCTCTCCACAATTACAAGCTTTCATCATTGTCACATCTTCTTTATTCTTACATTTATGTTCTTATATTAACTTTTATTCTTATATTTATATTTTCATATTTGTTCCTTTTACTCATTTATTCTGGGGTACCCAAGCCATGTTCAGGGCGCCCAGAGACCACCCACAATGATCCTGCAAGGTACAATGCTAATGAGAGGAGAGGGAAGGGGGGCTGTTAAATCCCTTGTCCCCTACTTTGGCCCCTTTTAATTTTGTTGCTTCGATTTCTAATAAATCTAACGTTTATAAAGAGACATCATGGTTCTCTCTTGGCGGGTATGTGCCTACTCTGTCTGTGTCCTTTTTACTTATTATTCAACATTTCTCTGTCACTTTGCTTTATTGTGTGATGCTTTCCAAAAAAGCATGCTGTTTTACAAAGTAAGAACAAAAATACTTCCTTTCTAGCACTATCGTAGCTCCCATTGTATGGGACAGGCCCCCAGACAGGGTTTGCAACGCACTCGTCCATTCTTCCACTCAGCAAGCACTATCAACTACTATCCCCTCAAGCTCCTTGTCCACCAAAGACGCCTCCCGACCCCTGGTGTGAGACACCGGAAAGGAAGAATGCGTTGGTGAGACCCACACAGACCGTGCTCCTGCATTGCTGAGGGAGATTTGTTCAGGGGAGAGGCCACCCGGAGGAAAATGCGCTGCCGCCAGGAGATTCGGCGAGGAGTGACCGGGGTTCCGCCGATGCTTAGGGACTCATTGCTGCAAGTCGACGAGGTCCTCTTCCTCCCCTCTCCATCACTGCAGAAAGCAGAGGAACATGGGTTGGTCAGGAGAGATGCATCACACAGTTCCCAACGGCACAACCAAAGCGCAAGCCATTCACAAGCGCAAGGCACAGGCAACCGGAGCAACGGCAACCCCAGGTACCAGGGCAGGGAGCCCAGCCCACGCGACCCAGGCCACAGCCCAGCGGTGAGAAGCGGGCCTGTTCCTACTCATTCCACGGGAGCCAACTGTGCTCAGATCTAACCTGAAGACTCAAAGGACTTAACACCAGGGAGCAAAAATGGTTTGAGTAGGGGCCAGAGCGATAGTACAGCGGGTAGGGCTTTTGCCTTGCACCCAGCTGACCCGGTTTCAATTCCGGCACCCCGTATTGTCCACCAGGCGGTTCCGATTAAGGAGTGATCCTGAGCCCAGAGCCAGGAGTAAGGGCTGAGCACGGCTGGGTGTGGCCCCCAAACAAAACAAAACAAGCAGTTTCAGTCAGGGCCTCACACTTTGCTAAAAACGAAATCATCAAATTCAGTCTATCCTGAACAATGCAATAGGTGAAGACAGATTCTAAAGGCCTAGGATTGCTAAGTTCTCTCTCTCCCCCACCCCCACCCCCACCCCCACAGCCCAACCCACTCCATCCAAACCCGGTGGTGCTCAAAGGTATACTCTTGTCTCTGACCTCCCGGGACCTTATGGGATGCCAGGGATCAAACCTGGCAGGCTGCATGCAAGGCAAACACTCTACCCACTGTACTATCACTCTGGCCCCACTAAGCTCTCTTTTGGATGTGTTAGCTGCCAAGAGCAACAGCAGAACATAGCCTAAATAAAGGTTATTCATTTATTCAATAATACATTGAATAAATGATTTTTAAATTTCTATAAATTTTAAAATTCAAAAGAAATGGAAGGGGGCTGCTGTTAGGTGATACATTAAGGAAAACAAACTCTAGTGCTATCAGATGGGTGAGGTTAATTTTTAAAATAGTAAACAGTAGAACTTGACAACAGAACTTCTCCGGAACTAGCACACATTGGGATTCTCTATGAGGGTAAACAACATACAGAACTCCCTAAGGTAGTCAAATTATTTGATGCTAAAATCATCTGTATTTATGTATTTATTTTTGGTTGGGCAGTGTTTTTGGGGGGGGGGGGGGATCAGGGAATCACGAAACACACTGGCAGACCCTAAAAACTCTTTGATTTTTTTTGTAAAGGGATGATCAGCAGCAGTGTAGGTTCTGGGCGGGGGGTGGGGGTGGGGGGTCAGGTCTAGCACTGCATGCTAAGTGCAACAGGGCCAGGAGCCACCAGAACCACACTTGGTGGGCCCGATTGGTTAGGACTGAACTTTGGGCCAGAGCACATGCTAAGCAAGTGCTCTCCCGCCTGAGTATTTCCCAGGCTGCTCTCATGGTTTTATTTCCCTGAAAAGTTCATTCCTACTTAGGTTATCCTAGGCTGCAATAAAAGGATGAGTCAAAGGTACTTTTCTGAGCAATTCTGTTAGCAGCTAGAATGTCAGGCAACATGTATTGTCTTCAATGACAGGACTATTTCACTGCTTACTTTCTCTTTCCCAAAAGTATACGAAGATATCAACATTCACACATGTAGAAAACAAATGAAAATATGGGGTTTTTGATGGAGTCAAGAAGTACCAGTAACTTTCAGTCAGAACTGAAACTCAGCTAGAAAGGTCACAACACTCAGAAATCTAGTCCTGCGATGATCAATAATAGCAAATCAACATTTGCTAGCACTGTTCTACTTGCTTTCTTTAATCTATATGCACTGTTCGCAAGTAACTCTTTGCTTTTTAATCTCGGTCAATCTTCCTGAAAATGGAATCTCTAGCTCAATTAATGTTAAGAAAAAGACAAACCTTGGAACTGCCACAGACAGCAAATGTCATGATGTTTAATGATACTTCAGAAAGTAACTGATTCATACCTCTCAGTATAGTCCACCCACATTAACAGCTGGGAAAAAAGTAGAACCCTTGAATATGTCACATAAGAATGAATAAATAATGGGGCCAGAACAATAGTACAGCAGGTAGGGTATTTGCCTTCCATGCCCGGGTTCAATCCCCAGCATCCAATATGGTCCCCCAAGCACCACCAGGGGTATTTCCTGAATGCAAATCCAGGAGTAACCCCTGAGCATCACTGGGTGTGATCCAAAAAGAAAAAAAAAAGAAGAATGAATAAATAAGTTCACCTTTCCTTCCACTTTGGAGAGCATCAAATTCATATTATTCCCTTTCATAAATTACCATTCAAATGTGCTATTAGAATATTCATATTCCAGACAACACTTTGAAGTACCCTGTATCTTCATTTTAGTAATTTTCTTATTGCTCACTTGCACTTATTTTTGATAAATGCCTAGATCATGAGTGCATTATTAGCACCACTGGGTGAGGCTCAAAAACAAAATTTAAAAAAAATTTCCCTAAAAAGGGGGCAGTTGATCCAGTAGTTGTGGAACCTCTGTTCTATAGGATTGTTATTCTGTAGATCAGTGAGTACGAACATCTCACTATGCTTTTGGGACACCAGAGCCTTTTGCCAAAAAAAAAAAAAAAAGCTTCTAAAGTCATAATTATCAACAAAGAATCTTGAGAAGTTTGGCCCTTCATTTATTCCTGACATGTTAGTCTAGCCATTTAGCCATTTAACTTCTGAGTTTAAGCTTCCTATGATTCAGCAGTATTTATGCAATGGATATTTTTGAGTGTTTTTATTTAAACTGTTATTTGATAGCCAAGCTGATGGCTTAATGCAAAAGCCTGGGAGAAGGCAGATTTTGTTCTAGCCCTGCAGTTCCAGGGATCACCTAGGCCACTCCAGCTGCCCCAGTCACCCCCAGGGCTCAGGGGTCTCCAGGGGGGACTACACCCAAAGGAGACGGAATTGCCTGTGGCGCTGGGGAGCAAACTGCGGTTGGCTAAAGGCAGGACAAGTACCATAATCCCCGTAGTATCTCTGTGGTCCACTCTTCAAATATCAGATTTTTTCACCGTCACTGTCGCTATCCTCCCGTTGTTCATTGATTTGCTCGAGCAGGCCCAGTAACGTCTCCATCGTGAGACTTGTTGTTACTGTGTTTGGCATATCGAATACGTCACAGGTAGCTTGCCAGGCTTTGCTGCGCGGGCGAAATACTCTCAGTAGCTTGCCGGGCTCTCCAAGAGGGGCAGAGGAATTGAACTCGGGTTGGCCATGTTGACTGCATGCAAGGCAAATGCCCTGCCCGCTGTGCTATCGCTCCAGCCCATCAAAATTTTTAATCAAAATAAATGGCCAAGTAACTATTTTCCTTCTGTGACTGCAATATAATGACCAACCATAATCCAAGAATCAGCAGTCAAAATATAAGACTACAGTCAAAGGAAGTTACCTACGGATGATGACCCTTTATCGTACACTGAAAAACATTGAAAAAGTAGTTTGGTGGCTGCAGTAAAATAAAGCTGCTATCTGCTTCATTTAATAAGAGAAAATATGTATTAAGAAGCCAGGGTTCAGGTGAGAGGTTTGACAGTTTGTACATAAATACAACTTCAGGAGTTTGCATTATGACTTACATTTAGTCAGCAATCTGGACCTCTTAAGGTGGTTATTTCAAGTGTCCGAACCAGGGGCCAGAGAAATAGTACAGCAGATAGAACACTTGCCTTGCGCTCAGCTGACTGGGTTTCGTCCCCAAATCCCCACTGAGCTCTGCCCGGAATGATTCCTGAGCTCAGAGCTAGGAGTAAGTCCTGAAAAATGGCGAATATGGCCCCCCAAAATAAACAAATTTAAAAGATTCAGAACCATATGGGGGGAAAAAACATACAAAACACTTATATGCATTAAAGTCCTTACACTCTGCCTTGCAAGTTACACTAGATGAGAAGGAAAGGTTTTTTTTTTTTAAAAAAAATGCTATTTTATCTTTCAAGTTTCTTTTTATGGTAACATTAGCATTCACTTTGACATCTTCTTTAAACTCAGCAGGTATACAAGCACAAATACACTTTCTGAGTGGAAATAAAAACAAAATATCAAGTATTTACTATGGCAATAATAAGTCTAACACAAAAAAAATTGAAACATGATATTCACAAGGCAATGTCCTAAGCACTGTACATGGACGAAGCATTATTCCTTTACCCATATGGAGAGAGGAAAGTGAAGTTAAAAGGAAGCTCTGTAACTTGCTCTCAGTCACAAAGGTGGTGAAGGAGCCAGGATTCAATCCCAGACTGTCCCCAATCCAGACATCTTGGTACTCTAATTTATGTTGGTGCCCATATTGAAATTTTTTGATTAATTCAAACAAATGTCCACTAAATCTCAAAAAACAAAGCTTCCAGAACGCTCATGATGCGAGTGTGTGGTGAGAGGTGAAAAGAGTTTAACTAGCAAGAAAAGTTTTAATTAGTAGCCCCCCCTTGGCCTCTCCCCTCTCTCCCTTCCTCCACTATTCCTCCTTTCTTTCTCTCTCTCTGTCTCTCTCTTATACACACACACACACACACACACACATGCTCAAATACACACATACACACACACACACACACACAGCCCACCCTCTCCCTCCCAGCCTCATCCAGTGATACTGGGGGTTATTTCTATATCAGTACTGGGGTCTATACAGTGCTGGAGATCAAACCTGGGCCTGCAGCATGCCCCTGAACCCTCTCTTTGGTCCTCCTTTTCCATTTTGAATAGGGTAACATTTAAGAGAAATACTGAAGAATATCATTAGCATCTCTTGTATATTAATTTAAATGTCTTACTCCCACTACATCAATAAAGTACGTTCTTCTTAATATTTAAATCAAAGAATCGAACATAATAATGTAGCAAAACATACACATAAGTGCATTAATTGTCCTTACATTTGGAGGTGGGGATTGGGTCATACCTGGCAATGCTTAGGGACTTCTGTCTATTCTTGGGGTACTTTATGATGTCAAGGATCAAACTATGGTCAGGTGCATGCAAAGCAAACACCTTAAC